TCTTCCTCCCTCTCTCTCTCATTCTTTGACACTGGTAACACTGCTGACAGCTGACTCCATTCCTTCATTCTTCTTGGGACTGCTTGTTTGAATGACTGGATATTGGCTGTCCTTCTCAGGGTGAGACTGAACCACCCTGGCCATTTTGTAATCCTTTTTGTTTGGTGTGTATTTCTAGCAGGTCCTAGCACCCGGGGAGCCATCAGGTTGCAGATGAATAACAGAGTGATTCCTGGTTTAAGCCACCTCCAGCCACCTAAACTAGCCACTGTACAGCTGATAGCACAAGCTAGTCAAACTGTCCCCCTTCCTTAGTTCAGCATGAAAAGACAGGGAGAACCCAGAACCAGCAATCCCCATGCTCTGTACCTGAAGGACTATTGCAGCTGCATGCAGTCACCACAAAAACACAAGAGGGGCCCTTTTCACTGAAATTCCACTCTGGAGAGAGAGGTGGAAGCCAGTGGGTTTCGTGGACTGGCCATGGGAGCAGGGTGGGGGCTGCTCTTCCACTCCCCTCTCTCCCCTCTATGGCTTTGTCCTTACTTGCTCTCTGCCCTTTCCCACCCAGTCCTTTTCCCTCATATTCCTCTGCCCAGCACTCCTCCTCCACTGATCCATTTCCATCTCTCCATTCACACCAGAACAAAACAGGAATTCTGCAGCAAAACTGCTTTCAGGTAGCCATATTTCCTTCATTTGCTCTTAAATCTGGAAGCCATTGACACCTACCCTTAGCTTCCGTACATCCCAGTTGACTTGTGCTTACTGAAACTTGCATCTCTCATGACAAGTAACCTCTTCTTTCATCTTTATGAGGCTCACTTTGACCTCCTTAGAATTCCTTTCTCCTTTGCCATCTCCAGTGCCTTTAAGATTCGGCATCTCATGACTCCTCCACAGCTAGCAGGCCACACTTCAGTGATGTGCAGGTCTCCTGGTGGAAAAGGAGACAAAAAGATACTAAGAAGCCCACCTACCCTTGACCTGCACATCCTGGCTCCCGGCCATGAATTTGGTGTCTAGTGTCTCTAGAAACTCATGACTCTTGCCATTCTCAGTTCTCTGTGTACAGTATGCCCTAGGTGACCTCCAGTTCTCAGCAACAAAACACCAATCCCTCAGTCTTTGGCCACACCATGACACTGAACCAGCTGTCTTACAGATCAAACAGAGATGAGAGAGCAGACAGAGAAGCAGAGCTTGAGCGGGGACAGAGGGCTGTCAGTTGGACCCAGAACTTCAGGTGGCTTGGAGTGGAATTTATCTCAGAGATTTGAAAATCTATCAAGTGTTCCTGTGGCAGAGCAGCCAGTAAAAGATTCATGCATCCCCATGACATTGCACTGACCCTGTTTCAGTGTGACATGGAATCTCAATGACCCTGGTATCATGGCCATTGCTTCTCAATGGCAGCCCTCCGGATGGGGCATCCTCTGCCTGGCCAAGAGCCAATCTTTCCTAGAGGGCATCAGAGGATCGTCTGCCCTTTTTCAAAGTCAACACAACAAAGGCAGCGTAGCCATGACCCATGACCCCTTCAAAATGCTCTCTAGCCCCTGATCTCAAGAGGAGGTCCTGGGAGACAACTTGGTTGGATATTCTAGCCTACCTACCTGCTGCCCCACCCTGAATTCCTAGCAATCCTTACCACCTGGCTATGCTTTAAAAATATTTTTAAAACTTTTTTGTATGATGAAAAGCTACTTTTCAACTACCTTTTAACTCTCCAGAGGGTGTGATGTGACAACCGAGAAACATTCCATGGATCTTCACACCATCCTCCTGGGAAAATCCCCTCCATCTAGGAGAATCTGTCTCCCTGGCCTCTGGCATTCCCCGGGCTTTATCCCTCAGCCTCCACGGTGAGGTCTAGAACTTGTGCCCAGTGACAAGGAACAGTGGATAATTCCAGAAGCAAAGACTTCATCTACTGAGGTGATGCTTCTGATATGACCCTGAACTCAATTCAGAAAAGTTTTTCCAGGGAAGATCTCCCGTGAGCAACCCAGGGCCCTTCCATCACCGCTGCCAGTTACACCCAACCAAGGCAGTTGGCATGAGGATATTAAAATGTGGTAATGGCTTTTGCTTTCTGTTTGCCCTGAGCCTGGAACCACTCATGGGGACTCTGCTATGAAAGAATTATCTCGTTCCATTTATATAGATTGCATGAACAGATTAAGTTAATTGCCCCAATATCTTGAAATCCTAAATTACCAGATCATTGGAAAACAAAGCTGAACAAATTGGCTGCTCAGAACTTTATTGCTTGCCTTCCATTAGTGGAGACAGTGCCATATTAAAATCAGCCAGAATGTTTAGGCTGGGAAAACAGTTCTGTTGGCTCCTGGTAGAAAGGGGATGCTGGAAGGGTCTGCAAGCATATGAGGCAAGTATTTGGGAATCTTACCACCCCTTTTTTCCCTAGGAAGACCACTGACAGAGAAACTATAAACTGACTCATAAGAACGGGGAGGAAATCTGGGAGGGGGTTAGAGACTGATGCACAAGAATTCCAGGCTGTAGAGTGAGGTGAAAGTAGATTCCAAAGCAGAACTCCTGCTAGGTAGCTTCTCAGAGCACATACCAGGTACTCACGAAGACAGTGGCAAACAGTTCAAACGTGTCTGGGCCAAGCTTGGGACTCACAAATGCCCAAGGCCAGTGAGTCCAAGGTCCCCTTCAGTTCACCAAGGAACTCCACTTGCAGCTGGGCAGTCACCAAAGATTCAAATGACTATGGGATCATCTAGGAAGTGTCCTGCACAGCTGCCTGGGTATGAGCAGCTGAGAGTTCTCGGAGGACAAGGGCTACCTTAAGCTTCAGTGATTGCTTTCTGAGTGACTACGAATGGCTCTTTATTTTTGAGACCAGGGATCTGGTAAAAAGTTTGTGTGAGATGTTAAAGGCAACACAGCTCCAGCAAGTCAAAAATCCTCTGAACGGCCTGGCTTTAATGTTAATCCATGAGTTTCTAGACTCTTCCAAAGTGAGGCTTTTTGGAAAGTTGTCATTACTTAGGCTGCAGAAGGCAACAGAGAGATCAAGAGCCTTCCTCTCAGCTACCCAAAGCTCCTCCCGACTCTTCTTATCTGCTATTACAGAGACACTCATAAGGATTATCAAACTAGTACTTATTAATATAACAGACTATAACCTAAAGTTTAAATCTTGAAATAAAATGAAACAAATATATGAGATCTTAATTGGAACCATAAAGGCCTAAATAAAAAGCAACAGGAGAAAAAATGGCAAGATGAAAGGTTAAAAAAAATTAAGAATTCTGAATGTTTAAGAAGTTAAAGAAAGTTTTGTTTTGTGTTGTGTTTTAGTGGCTCAGTGGGCCAGGTGAAGCAGAAGGGTTATGAATTGTCTCCATTTTAATTCTATTCAGGAAGGAATTGCCCAGGTTCTTAGCAGTAATGGGCAGCTGTGTGGTTTTCAGGTGGATCTAAGAGGAAGCAGACCCTACACCTCCTGGGAACTCTGCCTTACCCCCTGGCATTATAGGTAGTGCAGAATCCCTCCCTCTGCCCTCCCAGTTCCCATCCCACTGGATCCCAGAAACATAGAACTCCTCAGCCATCAACACAGGGAACACTCAGTAGACCAGCCTGCAGCTCAGAAAGATGCCAGAAGAGACCTAGACCTGAACATCATCTGTCACACACCTAAGGAAAAGGGAGTTGGGTGCTTTGCAAGAAATTTCTATTGTATGAGTGCATATGTATGTATGTGTGTGTGTCTGTCTGCCCATCTGTCACCATGTCCAGTATCAGCCCTCTAGCCAAATCCTAGTGATTCCACTCCTTCCAGGTATGAGGACTGACGCAGCAAAACAGAAGCCGAGGTTTAGAATGTGTTCTATAAATGACTAGAGAAGTGTCCCTTGCCTCCTCTTCCCTAACCTCACCTTATATCATCACCATTCCCTACAAAAGGACATCTTACCAACTTTCTATGAGAAATTTTTAAAAAAAAGAATTTGCTGAGAAATCTGTTACCAAGGAAGTATTTTCAGGCTGCAAGCAAATGTCTACTTATGCACATTTCTATCCTTCAAAAATCCTGTTATACATTTTCCTCATTTGTACCTTTAAAACAGAAATACAAGGGAAACCAACTGGGAGTGGGGGATGGAGAGCAGACTGAAGATTTTGTAGAAAGAGTTAGAGCTCAGACTGTTATGATTAGAAGAGGCTGAGCTCTAGGTGCTGGATCCAAAAAGCAGGGCCATCTTCCTAGAGACAGGCGCAGGGAACCTGGAAGAGGACGGGCCTGGGATGTGCACCTGAGTTTCTGCCCAATGCGGAAGCAGTCAGACCCAAGAGCCCAGCTTCCTGGGGTGTTAATAATAATGTCCTAAATTATGTGCAGGTCTTTCAAGGTGAACAAGCGAGTCTACACTTATTATTTCATGCCAGTGGCCAAGGTTCTCCACACCTATGGACCTACAGCCAAGCAAGGCCGGGTCCTGCCTGAGCTGCTGCCTTGAGAACCAGCCCCTGCTGGGGAGAGGGCTGAGAGCCACCTCCTGGATCTTCCTTTATGATAACTAGAATCCAGTCTTCCCCTAAGGCTAAGAGCCCCTTTGCTTACCTGGGGTGGGCAGGACAGGCACAGGGTACGAGCAGGTGCTGCCTTCACTGCCTGGCGGGAGCTGAAGTGCAGAGAGGCAGGTGGAAGTCGTTGGAGGTGGTCTTAGAATACCAGGCTGACCGAAAACAAAACCAACCTCCATTCTCAAAGTCCAGAAGACCGATCTGCTCATCATGGGTGTGAGTTACTCAGTTCATGGCCAGAGACGAAAGCCTTGTGGGGCCCTGTTAGACGTGAGGCCCAGTAATGCACAGACACACGCATGGTGGTGTCCCTGAGCCTGCCAGGCCCACGCTTTTGTATTTCTTTCACTTGTTTCCTTGTGCCCTCTCCTGCTACTGTGTCTCTCCTGTGTTAGCCAAGACCTAGAATACCGGGCATCTTCGTTGGAGACTCATTACAGCTTATCTCTGTCTGCCTTTCTTTAAAGCCAGCTGAACATACCCAATGCTCTCCCTCTATGGTAAGACCGACCCTCCAGACCACGTGCCCAGCTTCTGTGAACCCTCTAGCACCCCCACTCTTACCCACTCCAACCTCCAGAGTCTCAGGAGCCCAGCCTGGCTCCCTTGCATGTGACCACGTGTCCGTCGTGTGCCTTGCTCTGCCTGTGCTCGTGTGAACTGTGAAAAGGCTGCACGCGTAACGGTGTTCTGCCTCCCCCAGCTCCTTTGGGTGGTAATTCCCTGTGATCTTGTCTATCTAATGAGCCACTGGGAGAGAATTGGACCCACGGACCATTTCCTGTTAAACATCCCGAGGACTGAGACTAAGCTTAATCTGACATGGGAAATTTGCAGAGACCACCTGCGAGAGCCACCATAGGATTCCAGGAAGAGGAGAAGAGAGAAGGGTCTAGCCAAGAAGCTGAGAGGAGGAGGATGAGTTCCTGCTATCCATGTCTGTGACTACCAGCCTCCCTCGGCTCTGAGTGGAAGGCCGCTGCAGAAGCTTTATGCTGGCATTTGTTCCTAAGAGGGCAGTTGAACTTCTAGTCACTCCAACCATAGTGCCCCTCTCATCTTTCTAAATTCCTGACGTTCATTTCAGTCGGGCTAAACCCACGTTTCTGCAGCAAAGTGGATGCAGAAAAACAAACTCTGTCAATTGGACCATTCCTAATGTAGGAGTTCATGACCCCCTTTGGCTAAAGTGGTAGAGATGCCTCTCAATGTGACCTTGAAGTGTCCCTGTACAACCCCCCCTCCGCCCTGCAAAAGATGCCATCACACATTTCAAACTGAGCCAACTGTGAGTTTTTAGAAAGACCAGTGGGTTGATTCCTCAAATCCCAAAAGTCAGCAGACCGGAGGCGAGGTTGGGTGGATTGGTGGTGACCCCACTGTAGCCCATGACGACCTGGCCAAAGGCTGCCAGGGAAAGGCTGAGCCACGGACATCTTTCCCTGCTTCACGGGGCTTCAGGGGGACAGCACTTGGATTGCCTTCTCATGGCATTGTCATTCCCTTTACTATGGGAAATTGTCCCACCGCCTGGCAATGTGCTTATTCTTCTAGAGCACCATTGGGAAACTGCAGCTCAGGGGCTGGCTCTGAACACCACGGTGGAATCCAAACAGCAAGCTTGGCTTTGGGGTCTGCGTGGCTTTGTTTTAATTCATCAGATCCAACTGTCCCAGTGGCACCAACTCCTCAGACTCTTGACACCCACAGCTGAAGTTCCCCCACTTAAGCTTGTTCTTTCCTCTTTTTCTCCTTTCTGGAACACAGTGGAACTGACAGCTGGGTTATAAAACCCTAAGCCTCCTCTGTGAGCTCCTCTGGGGGAACAAACCTCTTGCTTAGGAGGGAAAATAGAATTTCAAGTAGACACAGGTGATAGAAATAGAGGAGGAGGCCATCAAAGACCTCAAAGTAAACAGGCAGGGGCAGGCCCAGGGACAGCACAAGGACTGCTGCCTGCAGGCCCCTCTCCAGGCCCTCAGGGAGCCCATGTGGCAGGCCCCCAGTACCACAGTCTGTCCCCTGCCTTATAGGGAGCAGGAGCCCTAGGAGGAGCTGAGGCAGCTCTGATTTTGAACCTAAGAAATATGTTGACTCTTCTCCTGTCTGGAGGGTCCAAAAGCCAGGAGAGACCCTCTGCTTGGTTTCTATGCAGAACCCCCAAGGTGAAATGGGCAAGCTGTAAAATCTGCCTCTGAATTTCCCTGCTCCCTCAGGGGTCTCCTGATCTGAGTAGGAGACGAGTGGTCCCTGAAGCCATCCCACCAGGTCAGGAGTGGACGGGCCTGAGGAGCCCTCAAGGGCTTCGGGCTAGTGGGCTGTTCAGGGAGTGGAAACAGGCTTGGGCCATTTCACGGGAATAGTGTAAAATACAGGAAAAGGAAAGCGGGGGTGGGGTGGGCCGCCAGAGACCCCTCCTTCCTTGAGGGGAACCTGGAACGGGAACAGTAACAGGAAGCTCGAGGGCCGGTTCTCTCCTGGTGCTGGCAGGGCCTGGTGAGCTGCACTGGCTCTGGGAGGCGGGAAGTGGCTCTCTTGAGGGTGACCAGGTGCCAGCTCCCCAGGCTCTGCAGCACAGCCTGCTGCTCCTGTGGGCAGGGGGCTCAAGATGGGAGGTCAGTTCTTGTTGTTCTTGGGTCTGGAGGCAGAAGAGGACAGGGCTGTCTGTCCTGTCTTTGGAACCCTGGCCAGGCATGTGCCCACAGTCTCCTGCTCCTCCAGATCCCACAGCTGAAGGTGAGCCTCAGCCAGCAGAGTCCCCTGCAACCCAAGAGTCATAGCCCACTCCAGCTTGCCTTGGCCTCGATGCCCACCCTCTTCTTCCCCTTCCCTCCAGGACTCCAGGGAGGGAGATGATCCATCCTAAACAGATCCCTTGGTCCTCAGAGAGCAAGGCCCAGACATTCCAGGGATCACTGCAAGTGACACCTCCCTACCTCCCCTCTGTGCCCTCATCCCTTCCAGGGTCTCCCACAGCCTGGACAGGGTGGAGCCTCCTAGAAGCCCCAGGGAAGAGGGGAGTTAGAAGGCCACCTGCTTCCTTCCTGTGAGGAAGGCAAGTGTTGCAAGCCAGACCCTCCCTCGCCCAGCACCAGCAGCACCGCACTCCCCAGCTCCTTCCCCTGTAGCCATAGGGGCAAGGGCTGTGGGAAGCAGGGGGAGGTGACACAAGAGAACTGCTAGAGTCCAGAGCAGCCAGGGCTTGAGACCCCTTCAGAGGGCAGCCCACCCCACCCATCAGAACCCCTGAATGCAATCCTAAGGGACAGCTGCCACCTAGCATCCTCACAGAGTGCCAGGTCCCACTCAGGGTGTAGGACCCTCAGCTGAGCTAGACAGAGGGAGAGCCAGGAACTCCAAGGGCAGCCAGCTCTAGGCCTAGTTTCCAAAGTATATGGTAGCTCCTCTGGAGCTTTCTGTTGCTCCATGCAGGGCATCACAAACTAGGAATGAAGGGGAAGAGAGAGGGTGGGATATCAGGACCACAGTCTCAGGGCCTAGACACAGCCTGGCTCTGCAGAGACCACATGACTGGCTACTGACCCAGAAAGCTGGACACTGGCCTCCCACCCATGACCAGGGAGCAAGGACCTGAGGGAAGAGTCCAGTGCAGCTGACCCACCCCAGCCTGCCTCCCCTCAGCCAAAGACTGTTTCTCAGAGCGCCCCTCCTGTACCCCCCTCTCTTGCTGTGTTAACTGCACCTCCTATTGCCAATGGCTTCCAGAATGCAGAGGAGAACTCCCGCATCTCCATCACCTTCTTCCGCCTCTTCCGGGTCATGCGCCTGGTCAAGCTGCTGAGCCGTGGGGAGGGTATCCGGACCCTGCTGTGGACCTTCATCAAATCCTTCCAGGTAACCAGGCCACCTTCCCAATGCAGTGGGAGACAACCTCTGGGGTCCTGGAGTGAGCTGGGACTCCCCTGCCCCCACCCCTGGAGCTCCCTGGATCTGAGCTGTCACAGGAAGCAAGGGGCCTGGGGCTGGCCCTTCCTCTGCTGCTCAGCGTGTGTGTGAGGGCAACGTCCCACCAGGCACCTTGCTTTCCTCATTTCTGAGATGAGAGGATGAAACTAGATCTGTGGTTTTTCAAAAGTCAACTCCCAGAGCCCCACATTTCCCCGAAGGCAGGGTACAGAGGGTGGGAGGAAAGGGGAGGCTGAGGTGGTTCTGCTCTCTCCTCTCATTTATGTGTTTCTCCTCAAGAATTTACTGGACAAAGGGGTTATGTGGGATAGCACATATCAGAAAAAACATGGGTCTAGCTCATCTGAAACCACTCTGGCCCCCTCAAATTCCTGCAGTTTGGGAATCTCCCAGCCAAGTCTGCTGACCCTACCTGGTTGTGGTCCTAGCCAAACCCTAAGGGACCCTGGTGCCACCCCACTGCAGGAAAGCAGACCTCTCATAGGGCCCCAGGATTGCCTGACTACTGCATAATTAATTTCCTTTTCTCAGCCATCGTTTTCCACCTGTAAAAACAGGCTCACAGTCACCTCTGGCAGCTCTGAGGAGTGTTATGTAAGTGTGAAGTTAAAGAGAAGCAGAGCAGTTAGGTCCCTGGGATTCCTTGGAGATGACGGCAGCAGCCCCTAACTGCTCCCCTGGCCCCGCAGAAGGCAGGCCTCTCTCCTCCTGTGGAAGTGCCACTCCCAGAGTCCCCAGGACTTGGAGAATCATCATCTCTAAAGAACAATCTCCATGTCCCCTGCCCTGGCCAGTCCAGGCCTCAGATAGGGCATAGAGTTGGTCTCTGGTCCAGGTATGTCTCCTGCTGCGCTTGCAGCCAGAGGACAGATGCTCTAGGACCCCTGCTTCCCTGCTTTGGAGTCCCCTCCCAAAGGCAGTCCCCTCCAGGCAGGGACAGAGACCACCTGCTGGACCAGCAGTCAAGGCCTCAGCCTGGTTGCGCTCTGGGAGCCAGTGCTCCTCCAGCCCAAGCCCAAGCTGACTCCCCACCTCCAAGGAGCTGCAGCTCCCCACCATGGCCCTGCCCAGGTGGGGGAGGGGCGGCTCTCTGGGGATTTGAATCAGCAGCCCTCATGGAAGCAGGACTGGGGGCTGACCTGGTTACTGATCCCTGGGGTCCAAAGTGGGCCCCCCACTCCATGTTTCACTGGGCTGGAAACATACAACAGGCCGGGGTGACTATAAGGAATGGGACTTGAATGAGGAGCCCAGTGCAGCTGGATGAGAAAAGCATTGAGTGAGCTCGCAGCGCCATCTGGTGGTGTGCAGCCACTGGCGACGCATTTCCTTCTGAGCCAGCATCCTGGGCTCTGGGATCCCACAAAAGGAACTAGTGTGGAGGCCCAAGGTGCTTTCCCCAGCTGTGGCTCTGGAAAATTAAGTTGTCCGATAATATGTTGAGTGAATAAAACGTTTGGCACGTGACTCTGCGAGGTAGTGCACTAAGCACTCAGTAAGCCTCAAGTCATTTAAACGCCACAAACCCTGCCACAAACCCCCAGAGGCCATTGTTGTTCCCACACTCAGATGAGGAAACTGCAGCTCAGAGAGGTTCGGTAACTTGCCCAAGCTCCGGTATCTGGAAAGTAGTTTCACAACAGTAGAACCTGCTCCCACAACTAGTGGAGCAAAAGTCAGCTGAATAAAGAGGGGCACAGCCCACCTCCTCCATCTCTCCCCAGGTGTCAATGGCCAGGGGGGAGAGCATCCTCCACCACTCTCTCCTTCCTCGTGCTAATATTTCTGCGCAGTTGAAGGAGGTTCAGCTCCCCCTGACTCTGCTCACTGCAGTAGTGTGACACTGCATCCATCGTGCTGCAGCCTGCCGGGGTGGATCTCTGTGCTAGAGCGTCACCTGCCTGGGTTCCATCCCCAGCACCACAAAAAGCAAATAAAAGACTAAAGTGAGAAGTCAATGCCCATTTCTCAGGCTCTTCCAGGTGCCCAGTTCTTCTGTAGGGCTCTTGGAAGTGCCCCCTGCCCAAAGTCAGGCAGCAGCTGATGGCTGCAAAGAAGGGGACACAGTGCTCACTGGGAAGGGATCTTGTCCCCGGGCCTAATTGGTGTCCTCCATGCTTCCTTCCAGGCCCTGCCCTACGTGGCCCTTCTGATAGTGATGCTGTTCTTCATCTATGCAGTCATTGGGATGCAGGTAGGAAGAGCTCTCCACCCTCACTCCCTGACCAGGGCCCCAGGCCTGGGTTCTGTAACTGGTAAGGAAAAACTCAGAATAATGCAGTTGGCCTCAGGGAAAAAAAAACCCTTCTGCACCCCGCTGCTTTGCCCATGTCTGATGGGCCTGAGAATTCCCCTCCACCCAGTGGCACTCAGAAGCAAAGGACTGAGAGAGAGGAAGAGAGAGGGAAGGGAGAACAGGGAAGGTAGTGCCTCCTCAAACACGCAGCAGTTCCTGGGGCCTCCCCTTCCCAGATGCTTCTGCTCCTTCTTCCCCAAACCAGAGTTCTCCAGCCTCCTCAGGGCTCTGGCTGAGTTCCCCAAGTCAGACTGGACAGCCCTTCCCCTCCCCAGCACTGCACACTGGTCAGGAGCTTAAGCAAGCTCCCCACTTGCTCAGTGCAGAAAGACCTGAAGGTTGGTAGTCCAAACCTTTGTGATGAAAAGCCCTCCCTTGACACGGTTTCCAGGATAAGCATAGCTTTAAAGGGGCAGGAAAAAAATAAAATAAAAAAGAAGAAACCTCTGATTTCAGGGATGAATTAAATTTGTCCAAGCCCCAGATCACCCATTCAATATCACTCCAAATCCAATAACCTAAATCAGGAGTGTTTGGACATAGGAGCTAAAATGGCAAACAAAGGAAGGCAGTGGACCCTGCGTCCCCACCCAGCAGGTCCTGATCACAGCCTCCACTCCTCTCAGCCCTAGCTCCTGCTGGCTGTGGGGACCTTGGCTGAGGGCCAAGGGCACAATTCTTCTTACATGTGTCCACGGATAATTGGGACCAAGACTGGGGGGGCGGGGCTGCAGGTGCTGTCCAGGTCACATCAGGAGACTCTGGGGTATAGTTTGGATAATCTCTGAGTTACTTTGTCCCCTAAAGAGACTATTGAAAAAAAAAAGTGTTGGAAATTAGGGTCCTCTTCTCACGGGTCACTGAATTTCTCTTCCTTTCCTCTGCTAGGTATTTGGAAAAATTGCCCTGAATGATACCACAGAGATCAACCGGAACAACAATTTTCAGACCTTCCCCCAAGCTGTGCTGCTGCTCTTCAGGTGGGTGTCCGAGGACACAGGTGCACACATGCACATCTGCATGACGACCTGTGTGGCCTGGGTGTAGAGTAGAGTGAAGTGAGTTCAGAGGGTGAGGAAGAATGGAGCAGGTGCTTCCCTCACTACCCGCCCCCCTTCATTGTGATCTGTATTAACCTTCCATGAGCACTGAGTAGTCCATGAGTACTGGACTACTGGACACTGACCCCTGCTGGTAACCACCAAAGCCATGATCAGACCAAAGTCAAACATTGAAAGCACCCTGGCTTGGGATCTGAACAGGTTCAAAGTCAAGTTGGCAGCATGCTGGCTTTGTGACCTTGAGCAGGACATCTACTATCTCTGAGCCTCAGTTTCCCCATAAAACAAATATAGGTATTGATCACTATGCCAGTGTGTGTGCCATCTGCTGTGTTAGGTGGTTATGTCCACCCGCACTGACTTTTATACGCACTGAAGTCAGCCTTGAGCCTCTACACTTCCTGGAAGACCCCCACCTCAGGAATGCCGGGGAGGGAGTGTTTCTCACAGTGCCCCTGAGTGATTCTGTTCTGCAGCCTGCTTCTTCTCATCCAGGTCATGACAATCCCTGGACCAGATGACTTCTAAAGTCTATGCTAGCTCATCTATTCTATGTGTGGTACTAGGAGAGGTAGTGAGCCCTGGAGTCCCCTTCCCAAGGGTCTCAGATAACCCACCTTTGCCATGTCTCACAGAACCCATTCCCCAAACCCAAATCATAATTGCTCAAAAATGCATTGTATCATACTAGTGGACTCCCTAAATAGCAGTCTGACATCACCACCTCCCTTAGATTATAAACTATCAGAACACAGGTCAACTGCCACTCCACAGCAGCCTTCAAGCCTGGGCCACATTTAAATATGGAGTTGGACACAGATTTCAGAAGGATCACCTGGGCCCATCTCCCCTCCTTTCCTTGATGACAGAAGACGTTTCTTTAGAGAATAAATTTGTAACAGTGCTAAGGATAGGGGGAAAAAAAAACTGGCATGTAAGAGTGCCTTAAGTGAACCAGAAATGTTGAGGGATTCCTAAATGGAGAAAGCAGGTTGGATTCAACTGTCAAAGGAACCAGAGCCAAGGACCACACACCTCCAGACAGGTTGAGACTCTGGGGAAGGGAGAGCAGCCCAGGGAGTCTCCAAGCTCAGGGTCAACAGATGCAAGGCACAGGAGGCCCTGGTCCCGGAGCCGTGGTTCCTCGGGGACTTATTCTATTGGGGATCATTTGCTAATTCTTGCAGTCTGGAAGCACTGTCACTTGACATTTCATCCCTGGACTTTGGAGTTTGGAGAGAAAGAACATCTTCCTCCCCTCAGGGAACTCAAAAAGAAGCCACCTGCCCAGTCTACCTGCAGCCCATCTTATCTCCCTTTCATGATCCCCAGGAAAGACGCTGGGAGGAGGACTTCATCCAGAGAGCTATGAACTGAGTTCCCCATCCCAAAGAGAAATCAACAATAATCCCAAAGTATTTGGGAGAAACTAACATCAAGAAAGAGAGGCCTCACACTTGATTCACAGATGAATGAGGAATAAGTAGAATTATCTTACATATAATATAAATATAATAAATATAACTAATATCTTTAGAGAGACTAGAGAACATCACCCATCTGTTAATGAGAAGAAGTGCAGCAGCAGCAGCAGCAGCAACAGCAGCCCTTATTAAAAAGAGCAAAGTGAGCTGGGCACAGTGGTGCATGCCTATGATCCCAGTGACCTGGGATGCTGAAGCAGGAAGATCACAAGTTCAAAGACAACCTCATCAATTTAGTGAGGTCCTAAACAAGTTAATGAGACCCTGTCTCAAAAAAAAAAAAAATTTTAAATAAAATAAAAAGGACTGGGGATAGAATTCACAGGTAAAGTGACCCCTGGGATAAATCTCCAGGAAGAAGGGGGAGGGGAGTAAAATATGTACTAAAAAGAGAAAAATACAGTGGTTGAAATATTTTTTTTAAGTAGGATGTAGAGCAGAGGGGACACAGCAGAAAAATGAATTGATGCACTGAAAGATTAACCAGGGAATTCTCCTTAGATAGCTAAAGGACAAAAAGAAAATATGAAATGAAAAATCCTCTCTCTGAAATATAAATTCCAGACCAAAAAACCCAGAAGGAATGGAGAGAGTAAAATAAAGAAATGTGATCAATTAAAATTTTAAATAAAAGTGTGAACTTTCAGTTTGAAATTGCCTTCTAAGTGCAGAATAGACACATTATGATTACCTTTTAGAATATCAACAATAAAGAAAATATCTTAAAATCTTAAAAAGTGGGAAAACATCAACAAATTGAAGTTTCACAAGGCCTGATATCAAAGTGAGAAAAAGATGCTGCAAGAAACCAAAACTACAAGTCAGTACTCCTGGTGAGCATCAATGCAAAAATCCTCAACAAAATACTAGCAACTGAATTAAGTCATACATTAAAAATATGATTCCTCATGATCAAGTGGGATTTAAACTTGGTTTAACATATGCTGATCAATAATGTGATACAGCACATTAACAAAATGAAGGATGGAAACTATATGATCCTCTTAATAAATGCTGAAAAAGCATTTGACAAAATTCATCCTCCTTCCATATTTAAACCTTTCAATCAATCAGGCATAGAAGTAAGGTACCTCAACACAATAAATACCATGTATGTAAAGTCCACAGTTAACATTATGCTCAATACTCAGAAACAAGGAAAGGGTGCCCACTCTCAGCACCTCCATAAAAGACATCCAAGTAGGAAAGGAAGAAGTGAAATTATCCCTTTGCTAAACATGATCTTGTACAGAAAACTCTAAAGATTCCACACCAAAAAGAAAGAAAACAAAAACAAAACTGTGGCCTGGAATTGTGTCTCAGCAGTAGAGTGCTTGCCTAGCACGTGCAAGGCCCTGGGTTCAATCCTCAGCAGCACATAAAAATAAATAAATAAAATAAAGATATTGTGTCCAACCACAACTAAAAAAAATGAAAATTAAAAAAACTGTTAGAACTGATAAATAAATTCAGTAAAATTTCAGGCTACAAAATCAGCACACAAAAATCATTAGTGCATTTCTTTGCACTAGCAGCACACTATCTGTAAAAAAAAAAAATTAAGAAACCAATGCCATTCACTATAGCATGTAGAAATAAAAATAAACTTAACCAAGGAGATGAAAGATCTGTATACTGAAAACTATAAAACAATGATGAAAAAAATAGTTGGCAACACAAATTAATGAAAAGGTATCCCATGTACATGGATTAAAAGATTTAATATTGTTAAAATGTTCATACTGCCCAATGCAATCTATAAATTCAGTGCAATCCCTTCCAAAATGCCAATGTCATTTTTCACAGAAATAGAAACAAAATGTTTATGAAACCACCAATGACCCTGAATAGCCACAGCAATCTGGAGGGAAACACACACACACACACATACACACACACACACACACACACACACACACACACACACACCTGGAGGTATCACACTATCTGACTTCAAATCCATTAAAAAACTATAGTAATCAAAACAGCCTGGTAGTTTAAAAACATACACATAAAAACAGATGCATAGAAACAGACAAATGGAAAATTGACAAATGGAACAGGACAGAGATCCCAGAAATAAACCCAACATTTATGGTCAATTGATTTTCAACAAAGGTGCCAAGATCACACAATGGAGAAAGAACAGTCTCTCCAGTGAATGGTGTTGCTTAAGAAGAAAAAGATTGATTTGCAAAGCATCAACTGGCCTTGGACTTCTCTTCAACAAAGGTGCACACTAGAAGCTAATGGAATAATATGTTCAAAATTACAAGGAAAATGTACTTAGTTAGATTCCTAAATTTAGACTTCTATGTTCAATCTAATAAGTATTCAAGTAGCAACTCAAAATAAACATTTCCAAAAATACAAGAACCTCAAAAGTTTACTCTCTCACATAACCCTGCCTCATTGTAATTATACAGTTGTGTACTTCCACAGAATGAAGAATGAATCTAAAAAGACAATGAGCAACATCAAGAGTGAAGAAACTGTTGTAATACTTATTGTTATGACTTAGAAAAATAGAGATTTTAAAATTTATATGAAGATTTTTGCAGTACTGGAGATCAAGCCAAAATAATTGTTAAGAGTAAATGTCCAAAATCTTAATAACAATTTGGAAGTAGAATCCCATATTATCTCAACAAGTTTGGAAGTGAGATAATAGTAAATTGAGAAACATGAAACTATGCCAAGATTCTTCTTTTGTACCAAGAGAAGAAGTGGATACTGTGTCACTCTTTATGCAACCAAGGGGAAAATGTGTACAAATACATACATTAAATATTGAAAGGTCAACTAGAAAAATGGAAATGGAATGTGTACATTCCAAGCCACAAAATAGAAAAAAAATGGACAAAAAAACCTTAGCAATTTATGAAAATGAAGGAAGGGCTACTTTTGTAGCAAAATAAAATAAAATAAAATTGGAAAAATTAGAAGACAGAACAAAGATCATAAGAACAAAGATACTAATGATTACTAAAAATTAAATGAGTTAAATTTCTCCATTAAAAGATCAATAATCCAGGGCTGGGGATGTGGCTCAGTGGTTAAGTGACCATGGGTTCAATCCTCAGTACGAAAAAAAAAAAAAAAAAAGAATTCTAGCCATAGCCTATATCTGAGAGAAAGGATGAAAATAAAGGGCTAGAGAAGGCATGCAAAGCAGTGCTTAAGGTGTTGATGTAACAACTGCAGTACCAGGGGAAAGGCATCACATAAGACAAAGGGGGCATTTGGCATTGGTAAAGGAATAGTCCGCCAAGATTATTCCCCCACATGACAGGAGCCTAACCATACACTCTGGAAGTGTATCTCATAGATGGAGATAGAACTCTAAGGAGAAAATAAACACACACACACACACACACACACGAGGAGTTGAATGCAGGTCACAGAAAATGACAGATCAGACAGGTCAAAGTAGAAGAAAGGGTAAAGCAAAGCCAAATAACACAGTTAACAGATTAATAAATTACTGTTCAGTAAATGGCAAAAGACACATCCTTTATAAGCACTTAGAAACATTCATGAAAATTAGCCATAACTTAATTCACAAAGCAGAATTTAACAAATCCTAAAACTTCTCTGACCTCAATATAGCAAAATTAGAAACTAACCATAAAAACAGTAGCCCCTCTGAAACTTCTCCACTTAAAATTTTTAATTTATTCTTCTAAATAACTCGAAGTTGAAACTGCAGATGCTCAGAAATTAGTGATAATGTTGTATCTGACATACATGAGATGACCCATCAATACCAAAGGAAAATTCAGAATGTAAAATTTATTCATTTTTAAAATTATAATAAGTAAACTAATAGATGGTTAAAAAAAAGCAAAAAAAAACACCACCAAAATGTGAAGAAATGCATTCGTAAAAAATAAAAGCATAAATCAGCCAAATATAAAACAAAAGTAGATTTTATCAATAAATGCTAAAGATGATTGAAAAAAACCAATAAATAAGACTGTTATCAAATCCATATTTTTTTAAAAAGGCACAACAATATTAGGCATACAAAAAGCAACATAATTATGGATGTAGAAATGATTTTTAGAATTATAAGATAATCATATGCTTTTTTAATGGCACCTCAGGTGATCAGCTACTTGAAGATGCTGAGCATCTTTCCAGCCACTTGCTGTTAGAAACTCATTAAAGTAGACCATGAACATAAACTTGGTACCGTTCATGAGAATTGAATGGCCACAGACATGGCTTCTGCCCCCCCCCCCAGGAAAGGGCGGAAGAGTTATGTGGTTTGAATCAGTGGCTGGAATGACAAACTGAGGTTTCCCTGGGAAGCACAGCTGTGTGCACCTGCAACTGAGTAAGGGCTATTCCTGTGATAAACCAAGGTGAACTGTGTGTGTGTGTGTGTGTGTGTGTGTGTGTGTGTGTGTGTGTGTGTGTTTATAAAAACCTGTGTAAGTTAGATTTCCATCACTGTGCCAAAATGCCTGAGAAAATTCACTAAATAAGGAGAAAAAATGGCTTGGGGTTGTATCTCGGTGGTAGAGCATGGGTGAGGCCCTGGGTTCTATCCTTAGCATCACACAAAAATAAATAAATTAAATAAAGGTTTACGAAAAGGAAAAAAGGTTTGTTTCTGCCCAAGATTTCAGGGATTTCAGTCTATGGTTATTTAACTTCACTTCTTTGGGCCTGTGGTGAGACAGAACATCTGATAGAAAGCTCATGATGGACCAGAGCTGCCCAACTCATGGAGACCAAGAAGCAAAGAAAGTGAGGAAGGGGACAGGTTTCCTATATCTTCTTCCCATGTATGACCCCAGTGACTTCACTCCCTCCCCTAGGCCCCACCTCCTCAAGGTTCCACAAACAGAGCCACAGACTAGGGACCAAACCTTCAACCAGGTGCCTTCAGGGGACATCCCAGATCTAGAGGCTACAGCAAAGCCCTAGACAAAGAATGTAAGAAACCTAGAACCCAAGTGTGCACAATTTAGCCTCATGTTCCTCCACCCGTGCTGCAACACAGACACCACCATGTTGTCTTGAAGAAACAGGATACTAAGAAAAATAAGCAAGAGGCCAAAGAATATGCAAGACATTGAGCCAAGAAAATGAAGGAGGTCAAAGAAAAATGCCAGGAACAGACTGCCCAATGATAGAGGCTGTACTCTCTGAGACCGTCTACCTCTAGGTTTGAGTCCAGTCAAAACCAAGATTTTCTAAATGTAACAAATAAGATTAGACCTTAAATGGGGGGGGGGTGAGGATATTATGAGCAAATTTATGTCAATATATTTAAAAATATAAAGTCAATGCTGTTATACAAGGAAAAACAAATTATAAAAACTGCTAAGAAAAAAATTAAAACATTAACTGATAAAAGCGGTAATCAATGAAAAAAATGCAAGCTTAGAAAACATTTAAAAGGTTTTCCACATATAAAACAGTAAACAGTTTTCTGGCTTGTCACAGATTCAATATAGATTTGATGTAAGTATAGGCATCTCATATAAGATGTAGGTTGGTACCAATGTAACATTGGAATGCTCTAAATAAATAAATAGCATTAACTATGATAAAAATTGAAAAAATCGTCAAAATTTTAGCCTTCAAAAAGGCCCAAGCCTTGATATTTTTATTTGTGAGTTCTAACAAACTATAAAAGAATAGACCATTCATTCCTATATTATAAAAATTTTCAGGATAAGAAAGAGGTAGCAAACCTCTACATTCATCCCATAAAGCTAATATTAATAAGAGAAGGAGAAAAAACAAGTTATAAAAATGAAAATATGAATGGGACTGGGGATGTAGCTCAGCAATAGAGTACTTGCCCAGTATGAGTGCTTCACTGGGTTCAATCCCCAGAACAGGAAGAGGAGAGGAGAAGAGAGGAGAAGAGAAAATGTGTTGACATAATTGTCAATGTTTGAAAACGACAAAAAAAAGACAGCCCAATCCAGGTAGAAAATCCAAGCAAAATAATTAAAAATCTCTGTAATAATGAATAGGATCAGTAAAGTGGGGAATTAACAAAGAGGAAGAATTATTATATTGTATTTGAAATAGCTAATCAGAAGACATAATGGATAAGATCCTATACTATCACTCTTTCTGCCTGTCAAATCAGAATCTGATCTGGAATATTATATTGCAAGTTTTGTCCAATGCAATATAATATAAACATTATATTGGTGATTTAATTTCATTTCTTTGCAAGTTTTGTCCAATGCAATAAGAAAAATAAATTGAAAGTTAAGAATCAGATAAGAAACAAAAAAGCAAAAAAAAAAAAATTGCCAGTTCAGAATGTACAAGAGAAACTACAGATAAACTGTTGAAACCAGGAAGAAAGTTCAGCAAATCTGTATATAAAATCAGTTATTCTACACTATAACAAACTAATATAATTTAAAACTGCATCTTTTTGTTTGTTTGTTTGTTTGAGCTGGGTCTCACTATGTTGCCTAAGCTAGCATCAAAATCCTAGGCTTAAGGGATCATCCTGCTTCACTCCCAAGTAACTGGGACTATTGGTTTATAGGACCATGCCTGGCAAACTGCACCATTTTAAATATGCAACAAAATAAAGAAGGTATCTAGAAATAATGTAACAAGGGATGCATATGGGGAAATCATAAAATTTTACTGAAGACATTAAGTAAGGACTACATAAATGGATGCCATGTTCATGGCTGAAAGACCTTATATCCTAAAGTTGTCAAGATTCCTTAATCTAAATTTTAATGCAATTCCACAAGACTCTCAATAGAACTATTCATAGAACTTGATGAACTGATTCTAATGTGTCTAAGGAATAGAAAAAGAAAGTGAACAATCAAGACAAATGAAAAACAAGAAACTGGAATTCATGCCCTATGAGAGAGCAAGGTTCACTATAAACTATAATAATTAAGACAACATGGTACCAATGCTCCTTGGCAAGTAAACCTATGGAATAGAATGAAAAGACTAGCACAAGATTCACACGTCTATGGAAATAGAATTTATATCAGAAGAGCTATTTCAAATCAGTAGGCAAATCATATGAAGAAAAGTGTTATCTATGCAGAAAAAGATGAAAGCATATTCCTACCTCATATCAAAATAAAATTCAGGTTAATGTGTTATTGTGAAAAATGAAACTTTGGAAGCTTGAGGAGAATATCTCAATGTCCTCGAACAGGAAAAGACTTATTAAATGAGAGGCAAAGAGCACAAACATAGTGCAAAAAATTATAAATTTGACCTCATTAAAATAAAAAACTTAAGTTTACCAAAATATACCATTTAAAAAAAAAAAAACCTAGAGACAGACCAGTCACAGGCTGGAGGAAGATACTTGAAATGCATATGAATAACAAAGGATGGTCCTAAAAACCACCTAAAGGACCCAACAAATGGAGAGGAAGACAACTCATGAATCAACAAGCAAAAACAGGAACATGCAATTCAACAGAAGGTGAAATTGAATTTCTCAACCCACTGGGGGTGTTAAAACTGAACAAAAACAGCAATGAAGTACCATTTCACACTGTCATGTGAGCGACACACTTTAAAATCCACTAAGAGCTGATGGGTCTGTGGAGAATGGCATTTCTCCTACACTGTGAAAGGAGTCTGCACTGGAGAACATGCACCACCTAGTAAATATGAAAACACATGTGTCTTCATCTGGCAATCCCACCCCTGGGCAGATGCCTGAGATGTGGACATGCCTGGTCTTCACAGTGTTAATTATAATAGAAAAAAATTTTAATTGAAAAACCTAGATGTCTCTCAACAGGAGGGTGATTTTTAATTTCAATGGCATGGTCATTAAATGTACTCCTGTATTGCAATTAAAATAAACTAGAGCTAAAATGTATCCAAATGGTTAAATCTCAAAAACTTTGCATGGATTACAAAAACAGCAAATTTGCAGAAAGGGTACAATTTGTTACTACCTTGTATAAAGCTTTAGAACATTCAGAATGATGCTGAATGTTTTCATATTTGGTGAGCATATCTGAGCACTCAGGGAGTGATAAATACCACATTTGTTTCCTGGGAAGGATGCCAAAAGAGTTTCAATTGCACGTATAAGATTGGCTACATGGGTGCTAGGGCCTCTTGCCTCTCCTCCAGGTGTGCCACGGGGGAGGCCTGGCAGGACATTATGCTGGCCTGCATGCCAGGCAAGAAGTGTGCCCCAGAATCCGAGCCCAGTAACAGCACAGAGGGAGAGACGCCCTGTGGCAGCAGCTTCGCCGTCTTCTACTTCATCAGCTTCTACATGCTCTGTGCCTTCCTGGTAAGTTAGGGGGACTTGCAAGCCCCAGGAAACTAGGACAGTCTCAGGGCAGCCCCTAGACTCTGCAGCTTACTGTCAGGGCAATACATAGAAGATGGCTTGGGGACACTAAGTCAGTTGTAATGTCCAGCCACACTGGGAGAAGATCAGGAAGACTGGGCCAGGCAAACTCGGCCATCCTCCTTTTTGTTCACATTCCCAGAGGACAAAGGGGATGTGTTAAGGCTCAGCAGAAACTTACACATTTTGGCACCTTGATGAGGAGTGAGAGAAAGGTGGCAGATAAAGCCACCCTCTGGAAGCTGCCCAGCCCACAGGTAGGGGTCACCCCACACAGTGCTCAGGGCAGTGAGTCATGCTCATGTCATGAGACCCAAGTTCTAGGGCCAGTGTTTTACATGCTGATGTATTTCTGGTATTTAGAAATGTTGGCTTCTGCCACGCCTGGGCTGGCAAGGTGGGTTCAAGTGGCAAGTGTGTAAGAAAGTCCTTGTGAAGCCCCTCACGGTACCTACTGTTCCCTGCAGATCATCAACCTCTTTGTAGCTGTCATCATGGACAACTTTGACTACCTGACAAGGGACTGGTCAATCCTGGGTCCCCACCACCTGGATGAATTTAAGAGGATCTGGGCAGAGTATGACCCTGAGGCCAAGTAAGTTCCCTGAGGGAAATCCTGTGGAAGACGTCCATGATGGGTCAGCACTGGGCGGATCAGTGGGAAACACTGAGCTGTCAAAAGCCTGCAAGAGGCCAAGACCCTTTGACTAAGTTGAGAACATGTCAGTTGATGGAAGGGCAGGAGACACTAGCATCAGGAATAACTAGTAAGTACTCACTCAGGATATTTAGGGCTAGGAAGATCTTGACTCTATTCCTGACCTCAGGTCTAAGGATACCCTCATCTGTTGATCATCTTTGAATGACATCCCATAAATTCCTTTTTTTGTGTGTGGGGGGGTGCTGGGGATGGAACTCAGGGCCTTGTGCATGCAAGGCAAGCACTCTATCAACTGAGCTATATCCCCAGCCCCCATAAATTCCTTTTGGTCAGATGGTTAGTGTGCTGAGTACATACTGAGGAATTTAATTGCACGACTGAAATCCCTTCCACCTGGCACATAGCATAGACAGAAAATTGTCCATTAAAATCTTAACATATGCACATTGATTTTTTTATTGTTTGGGGGATTTTACGATGCAATTCTGCAGTGTGCCCTATTTAACCAGAAAGGCCACAGTATGGAGAGTACCCCTCTGTAGGTAGACCCCCCACCCCCCTGATACATGAATCCTGGGCTGCAGACAGAATCCATGACCCTGACCATTCTTCCCCTCCTCTCCTTCCCCTTGCAGGGGTCGCATCAAACACCTAGACGTGGTGACCCTCCTCCGGCGTATTCAGCCCCCCCTGGGGTTTGGGAAGCTGTGTCCTCATCGTGTGGCCTGCAAAGTAAGAAGCAACCTCTGTTCTGGGGGTTGGGAGAAAGAGAAAATATGGGAGGCGAGATGCCTGTTTACCTTGTGACCTTGGTCAGACCAGAGATCCTTCAGGGAATAGAGATAATAATGAATGTGTCTGAAGAAATGAGTCCGGGCAGGTTGTATTGTAAGGATCCCTCTAGATCTAAGTTCTCACATGCAGTAAAGGAACTACAGGCTGAATGCCTCATGTCCCAGTGAGCCCTGTGTCCTGTCTGAATTAAGGACTTGGTCTGCCCAGCAGGCTGGAGCACCTGGCCTCCTGCAGGACCTCCAGCTTGGAGTGATGGGTGCGGAGTTCTTTCCCAGGAGCCGGAGGGCCAATAGAGAGGCCATGCCTTGACTTCAGGGATCTGCAAAGCACTAATATTTTATGAAAAATCACTCAGACACTCAGAATTTTGCCAAAGAGAGATTCTGCCACTGGTAAAAGTGGCAGTGTCACCAAGTCTATGAAATAAGTGAGTCTAAGAAATCAGATAAAAATACTGGGGCTGGGATTGTGGCTCAGCGGTGGAGCGCTTGCCTAGCACAGGCGGGACCCGGGTTCAATCCTCAGCACCACATAAAAATAAAGGCGTTGTGTGTGTCCATTTATACCCAAAAAATAAATATTGAAAAAAAAAGATAAAAATACTAAGTTCTGTTAGACACACCTCTGCCTGACCCTGAGATTGAGCATCATTCTCAGCCCTGACCCCTCTCTTGCCTCGTTGTAGCTCCAATCCTGCAGCCCAGTGATTGCTGAGGAATGTCACTCCCACTCCTGCCCCTCTTCTTTCACCTCCCATGCCACCTCCTTTCTCACCACTTTTTACTCCCTGTTGGAATAATAATGAGCTGAGAAAGAGCTGGGGGGGAAATGAGGCCAAAGAGCTGCATCGGGGAAAAACCCAAATGGTGGAAGGATTCAGGTCTGTGGATAATCCACTCATAGAAAATGGAGAAGAGAGAGATTATGGAGCCTTCTGCTTGGCTTTGTTTTATTCAAGTTATAGAAAATATGAGAGATAAAGAGCACTCTGTTAGCTTCCCATCACTGTGACAAAATAACTGAGAAAAGATTTATTATAAAGCCAAATTATTATTGGCTCACAGTTTCAGTCCATGGTCCCTTGGCCTTGATGATCTGGGCCTGTGGTGGCCCAGTACACCATGACAGGAGTCCATGATGGAGGAAAACTACTCACCCCATGGTGGTCAGGAAGCAAAGAGACAGGAAGGAGCTGGGGTCCCAATAGCCCCTTCAAGAGCATGCCCCCAATGACCTAACTTCCTTCCATGAGGTCCCACCTCCTAAAAGTTCCACCACCTCCCAAAAGTGCCACAGACTGGTGACCAGTCCTTTAGCACATGGGCCTTTGGGAGCATTTGAGATCCAAACCATAACAAGCACAGATCAGTGTAAAGCAGAGGCACGATGGGAAAAGGACCCATGGAACCTCCAGGACTAGGAGGTCTGAGTGCGGGGCTTTATGCTTTCCAACTCACACTGCCCGTGAGACTCAGAAACACCCAGTGTCTCAGGAAAGGACAACACTTCCTGGCACAAGGTCAACAGGAGGACCCCATGTGGTCTGAGAAGCAGCCTCCTTGACCACACCCTGGTGTGGACTCCATGATGAGCGTCACGATGCTCCTTCTCACAATGACCTCGTGTGCTGGCAGCCCCTCACAGAGCACAGGGCCGTGGAAGGACATTGGGGAGGTGGGAAAGAGGGAAGAGGCATACCACCCTACCTGGAGTCGGCAAGCCTCTGGCGCTGCTTGATGTAGAGATGAATTTTTCAACACATGGAAAGAGGCTGCTCTGCACCTCCCCCAAGCGACCCTCCCTCATCCTGTCTTCCCTGGGGTTTGGGACGCTGTCTGGCAGGAGGCTTCCCCCAGTGCCTGGTGCACAGCTGCCCTTCATTGCCAGCAGAAGCACACCCCGGGGCTGAGCTGCACTGGGCGGGACAGCAGGGAGGGTGGGCTTAACATCCCTTTGTGGAAGCGAAGGTCAAGGACACATTCCATCGTCCCCTACTCTATGGAGAAGGGCAAGAGTTCTCACAGCAAAGCCCAGATTCTCCCCAGAGAAGGTTTTGAGTACATTGCGGCAACCCACGCTTCACACCCACCCACTCCCAGGAGCACCCACACAAGTCACCAGGCACCCTCCCAGCATTTCCACCGTGGTGGTTGTGTAGGGCCTTTGAGAACCATAATCTCTGGCTTTGCCTCCTCTCCCCTCCAGCGTCTGGTCTCCATGAACATGCCTCTGAACAGCGATGGGACAGTCATGTTCAATGCCACCCTGTTTGCCCTGGTCAGGACAGCCCTGAGGATCAAGACAGAAGGTAAGGACCATCCATGGACCACTGGAAGAGGCACTTGGAAGGTCCAGCCAACCAACCAGAGAGGAGCTCAGCAGCCTGCAAAGTGCTGGGGGACCTTCCCACCCAGTACAGCTCAGAGCAGCGAGACATGATAACCTGCTTTCTGAGTTGCTGTGATTAAAAATCCTGACCACAACAATTGTAAGGGAGGAAAAGTTTATTTGTGGGCTGCTCAGTCCATAGGCAGCTGGCTGCATTCCTCAGGGCTCCAGGTGAGGCCGAGCAACATGACAGAAGAGTATGGTGGAGGGAAGCTCCTCACATGATGATCAGAGAGCAGAGAGAGATCTCCACTCACCACATACAAAGGCACACCCCCCCCCCATGACTCACCTCCTCCAGCCACATCCTACCTGCCTCAATCACCAACCAGCTAATCCCATCAGGGGATTAATTCACTGATTGGGTTAAGGCTCTCCTAACCCAGTCATTTGTCCTCTGAACCTTCTTGCACTGTCTCACATCCAGATCACAACACTGGGTCTTAAGGAGGCCCTGCCCACTCATGTTTTCTTTGTTTCTCAATGACCTCTTGGCCTCCGGTTTATTTATCTTGAGCTCTCCTTCTCCATTAAAGTCTAGAAATTATTCTGGGTGTTGACTTGATGTCTAGGGTATAGTTCAAAATACAAAAGGGGATGATTGTTACCTGAAGCAAGACTGAGCCCTGGAGGGATTTGCACTGGCTACAGGTGGGTCTCTCAAATGCTCAACTCTCTTTTGAAATTAAAAGGACTCATGTTGGGAAGGGGACATAATGACAGGTGGTAACTATGGTGGAGGTCATCGCATACCATTGTGCATGCTGTCCCTGGCACAAGGTGATCAGCTCCTTGACAGTAGGGGTTAAGGTCCTACCTGGGCTACACTCCTCAGCCTATGGTCCACACACACACAAGCCACTTCCAGTGGGTCCCTTCTAGTTTGCACAGAGGCACCCTGTGGGCTAGCAGTGACCCTGGTTTAGGTCATCTGTTATCTATCTCTGAACCACTCTGCAAAAGTCTGTATAAAATGTGTCTCAAAACATGCCCTTATTCTCCAAGAGCCTGTAGCCATTCAGTGCTTCTTAGAGTGTGGTCAAAAGACCATGAGCCACAGGATTAGCTCTTGAGACTTGGTCAAAGCTGAGTTCTGGTACCAGCTTGGATTTACCAAACCTGAGTGTCTGTGACTAGGGCCAGGAATCTGCACTGTGGACCAGCTGCGTGGATGATTTGTGTGTGAGCTGGAGTCTGACACCCACTGGTGCAGTAATAGGAGAAGATACACATGAGGCAAGCAGCGTGTTTTCTTCCCCTTCTTACACTTCACCCAGGAGTCCGGGCTGCCAGCCAGTGTTTTCCTTTGGTGCCACAGAAGGGGCAGTAAGGAGGGAGATGGGAGGTTTGTGTCTGCATCTCAGCTCTCTCACCAACATGCATGTGATTCTTTATTCTGTCTTCATTTGTAAAATAGATAAAGGTGATGACATCTGAGAATTTAGTTCAGATGTGCATCACCAGGAGAGGTGCCTTCTTTCCGTTAAATCTTTCCAGAGAATAGCAGAAAAACCTCTGAAAGGAAGGGAAATGAGAACCTGTCCAGCAACATGCCTGTCAAAATTATGAGCTAATTTTTAAAATTAAACACAGGTCAAATCTTGCTGAAAAAAGAAAGCAAAGGCTAAAAAGCATGCCATTGGTATCAATGCAATAACTCAATCCAAAATGGCTATGAAGAGGCCTATTGCTAGCTAAAAAGAATTAGGTAGACATGTAGTACACAAGTGTGTGCACAACAGAAGAAAATCAGAAGGAAAGTTGTTATTAAATTAATATGGAATATCACTGAGTGACAGAATCTTCTTCCTTTAATTCTGTTCTTTCCAAATTTTCTACCATGTCTATTATTTCATTTATGTTCAGGGGAAGGGTTTTCTCTTCCCATAAAGGAAGACACTGACTACTAGAAACTTGGTGTAAACTAAGGCTGAAAGTTTGGGTTCCATAGAGAAACAAAAATTGCTGATTGAGCAGTGTTGAAGCTGCACTGTCTGCAAACCAGGTCCCAACAAAGTGCCACCAGCAGTAGCACCAAGTTTGCTGTAATCAGACTTATCCAGAGACAAGAGGAGAAGCCAGCCTCTGGGAACTTTAGCCAAGTCCAGAATTCAAGAAAATCTTTGAAACAGACATCTCAGAATAGCCACCAACACACCTGTGCATACATTTGAGGGTGATCCTCCAGGCTCTCCGTAGACTTGTTAAAATCAAGACTTAGAGACAAAGGAAAGAAAGGTGAGAAAACATAAATTTGTGAGAAGACTTAGAGCAGCCTTGGCCCTTCCGGCCCTTCCGGCTTTTGTGAGTGGAAGGAAGTGAGAGAAGTTCACACTGACTTTGGAGAACGAGCACTCTTCCCAGTAGCAAGCCTTAAAAATACTTTGATGATACAAAGCAACGGGCAGTGACACTGCACAGCACATAGATCATTATGACGATAAATGAAGACCTGTGTTTGTTTCCTGGGTCTTCTATAACAAATGATCAGAAACCAGGTGGCTTAAAACAGAAGAACTTACTCCCTCACAATTCAGGGAACCAGAAATCTTTTAGAAGTAAGGTACAGGCAGGTGTGTCCCAGCTAAAGACTAGGAGGAGCTGCGCCTGCTTCTCTTGAAGCTTCTGGTGGTAGCTAGTGACACTGGCTCTCCTGGGCTCACAGCTGTGTCACTGCCTCTTTACCTCCCTCTTCACATGACCTTCCCCGTGTGTCCCTGTGTGCCTCTCTGCTTTGTGTAAGGATACTAGGCATATTGGATGTAGGGCCCACCCTTATCCTATATGACCTCAACTAGTTACATCTGTGAGGACCCTTTTTCCAGCACAGTCCATATTCCAAGGAGCCAGGTAGACATGAATTTTGGGAGGATGCTCTTCAACCCAGTCCAGAAGTTTATTTGAGCATTGTTTTAATTGGGACTCAGATTGTGTATATTAGAAACCTCTGACTTCCTTCATCGATGGCCTGCAACGGAAGCCCAGAAGTTCTCCTCTGGCTTCAGCTACTGATTGAATCTGACCTTCTAAGGAAGAACTCGGAAGCCCTCACTCCCTCTCCATGGCCACATCTGCTTGCTCTCCTGGGTGGCTTCAGACCTGGGTTTGAATGCCAGCAGTCTGACCCCAGAGCTCTCCTTGACGGCCTACAGCATCTCCATGCAATAGCAGTATCCATCACCTGTACTGCTTTCCTAACCCTGGATAACAAATTACCACACACTTAAAAATAAAAAAATAAAAAACACCCAGTTATTAGCTCACAGTTCTGTAAGTCAGAAGTCCAGCATGGAGTAGCTAGGTTCTCTGCTCAGGGTCTTGGGAGACCAAAATCAGAATATTAACCAGGCTGTGCGCCCTTCTGGAGGCTCTGAAGAAGATACCACCTCTGAGTTCATTCACATTGTTGAACATTTTCAGTTCCTGCCATTGTGGGTGTGTAATCCTCATTTGCCTGCTTGCTGTCAGCTGGGAACCACTCTCAGTTCCTAGAATCTCTCAGTTCGTTCCATAGCATGGGTATCTGTGCTCTTCTAGTCCAGCCAGGGTCCATCCCTCTCATTTTCTCTCTGCTCCCAGCTGGTGAGAACCCTGAATTTTTAAAGGGCTCATATGATTAGGTCAGGCCCACAGAGATCTTCCTGGCTGACCGTCATAGGTGCCCTATGACGTAATCTAATTGCAAGAGTTAAATCCATCTTATCCTCAGGCCCAGGGATGATGCATCGTGTGTATGGTGGCAGGGTCGGGCAGGTATCTTGCATAGCATCTAGAATCCTGCCTAGCACCTCACTCTAATGGGTACAGGTCTCAGCTTTCCTTTTCCACCACTGTCAAGCCTGTGTCCTGTGGCTTACCCCTGTAATCTCAGGCACCCAGGAGGCTGGGGCAGGAAGATGATAAGTTTGAGGCCTACCTCGGCAACTTAGCAAGGTCCTAAGCAACTTCGTGAGAGTCTGTCTCAAATTAAAGGGGAGAAAGGAGGCTGGGGATGTATGCTTGCCTAGGCTGTCAGGGGTTGGGGGGTTGGGGGACTGCAGCTCAGTTCAGGCTCTTCATCTCCGAGTGCCCCCACAGGCTGGCCTGAGCGACAGGTGGGGAGGAGGGGAAAAGGAATGACACTGGACAGGGCCCAGAAGGAAAGAAAGAAAGAAGGAAAACACAGAGAAAGGGAAATGGAAAGAGGAAGGACATAGAAATGGAAATGGGAAGACTGGGGAGAAAAGCAGCATTGAGAAGGAAAGAGAAGCTGATGAGTCAGAGCGGTGTGTGGGGCCAAGGCCTCCAGCAGCGGCTTCCCTCTTTATTCAGAGACCCATCTCCTGGGAGGGTGCCACAAGGGGCCGATAATCATTTTCAGCCTCCCATACCCTCTTCTTCAGGGAACCTGGAGCAAGCCAATGAGGAGCTGCGGGCCATCATCAAGAAGATCTGGAAAAGGACCAGCATGAAGCTGCTGGACCAAGTGGTGCCTCCTGCAGGTGGTAAGTGCCCCGGATGCCCACATCTCAGCCACCTGCCCAGCCCACATGATTTCTCTGCCTTCCTCTACTCCAGCTCTGGCACCATTAGAAACATGGCAGCAGCATGAGACTTACGTCTTGAGGCCGCTGGGCTCGCTGGAGCTTCCTTTCTGCAGACCCTTCTCCCAGAGACTGGAGTGCAATGCCCTGCACAAACTCAGATATAGACTGTCAGGTTGGAAATCTGCTGCAATCTGCATTTTGCATTATGGAGACAGGCATAGATGTGGTGCTTAGAGATTTGGTTGAACCTCCAAGGGAACCCCACAACCTGTAGGTTTCCCTGTAAGCCACTGAGTTGATTGTTCTAGATTATTCTAGAAACCTGGAAGAAAATGCCCTGAGATCCCTCCTCTCTTTGAAATTTATTTCATTCATCCTAGGACAGTTCTCCTCATCTCTACCAAGCAAAAGTCCCTGTTTATAACAGATAATTTAGATTGCCCCTACTATGATCTCAAATGAAAATTGTTGATAATGTAACCTTCCTACATGTGTTAATAAGGGCTTTAACTCCAATATAAAGTATATTAAAAGAAAAATGTTTTTAATGCATAAATGCTCAGGCACAACTCTGCAAGAAGTTAAAATCAATTATGAAATTTGCTCTCATGCACCCACACATTTCCAAAACTTCCTGAAGAAGTGAAATCCCTGTTGAAAACCACTTCCCAAAGGGAAAGCAAGACTGGGGCTAAGAAACCTGAATAGGTCAAATGCCATCTGATATCTTACATGACTTAATTATTTAATGTTTATAATGTTTCTGTGAAGTTTGCTCAAGGAACTAACATTCTAAGCTAATTACCTAGCCAAGGTTGCATGGTGCATCCAGAGCAGATGCAGGAGCCCGGGACAGAGGGAGCCTAGGACCTCACACGTGCTTCTGACTTCCCTAGACAGAGATCACCAAGGTTCCCTTCCCCTGTGGATATGAGGCCCTGCCAGAAGGAGGCCCATCAGTGTCATGGAGTTGGCCCTTCTCAAGGACAGCTAGGAGCAGGTGTGCCACCACAAGCCCAGAGACTTAACCCAATCACAAAACACAGGAGATAGGGCAACTGGTGATTTGCTGGGCATTAAACATTTTCCTTCAGGACTTACGGCTTCCCTACCATCTGGCTCATGCCTGAGACAGACACTGATTTAATCCTGTGTGATCTCAGGTACCCAGCCCAGCAGGGACACGTGGTATGATAACCCAATCTGTCTGGTTTGAAGAAGAACCCAAACTTCAACAAGAGGAAGGTGTTGCTCACAACAACCCCTCCCTCCAATCTTGAAGCAGAACTGTTTGTGTTTAGGAGATGCCATTCGACCATAGGTGGAATCAAATAAGGGTTAGTAATGTCAAATCAAGGGGGAAAATAAAAGCAAGGTAGGAAGTGATTTTGACAATCACAAGTAGTATAGGCTACTTTTCTGTTAAAAAAAAAAAAAAGTTGTAGTATGTAGCACCCAGGTGTGGTGGTATGCATCGATAGTCCCAGCTACTCAGGAGGCTGAGGCACAAAGATTGTTTCAGCCCAAAATTTCAATCAAGATCAGCCTGGTCTTAATGTAGTGAGAACTTGTCTCCAAAAAAGAAAGAGAGAGAGAGAGAGAGGATAATATTCAGTAAGAATAAGAATATATTTGCTTATTTGCATGAAGAATTTCTATAAAAATATTTAAGAAGCTAATAAAATTGGTTAGCTACTAAAAGGAAATCACTAAGCAGATGGGGATGTGGTAAGAGAGAGACTTTTCACCATATTCCTTTCTATTTGCTTTTACTCTTTTTAAGCCAAAAAAATTAAGTTGAAAAAGTAAAAGTTTGGATGCTAAAAAGTAAATTAACGAAGTTTAACTGAATCTCCATTTCCCCTCAATTTCTCCTCTCTGTGTGTCTCAGATGACGAGGTTACAGTTGGCAAATTTTATGCCACTTTCCTGATCCAAGAATACTTCCGGAAATTCAAGAAGCGTAAAGAGCAAGGGCTTGTGGGAAAGCCCTCCCAGAGGAACGCCCTGTCACTGCAGGTGAGGGTCTGGCAGGAGGGATCCACACCCCAAGGATGGTCCTGGTGGCCCTCCTCAGGCCCTGGGCAGGGCCCAGATCTCTCACCAGGAGGCTGAGCAGAAAACTTCCTGAAAGCACTGATCCTTTCTGAAGGCGGATGTGAGGGGGGTGACAAACCCCCTTCCCTCCCCTGCCCTGCACACTCCTGCCTGTTTTCCGGGCAACCCCAGAATTCCCATGCACTCTGCTGAGCTCAGACAGCCCCTGATCACTGGTGGCCTTCTGAGCATGCCTTCACTCCTCCCATATGGATGAATGGAATCTTCCACCCCAGGGTGACAATAGGGGTCCCTGGGAAGCCCATCGGCTTCAGAAGCCCCCTGCTGGGTAGAGTGGCTGGGTGGAGGAGCACTAGGGTCATGGAGAAGGACCAGGGTCCTCACATGTCCCTCTGGGTTCCAGGCTGGCTTGCGTACACTGCACGACATCGGGCCTGAGATCCGAAGGGCCATCTCTGGAGATCTGACTGCCGAGGAAGAGCTGGACAAGGCCATGAAGGAGGCTGTGTCTGCTGCCTCCGAAGACGACATCTTCAGGGTAGGTGCTGAGAGTCACACGCTTCTTTACCAAGTTCATCTTGAAGCAAAAGAGGGGTGGGCTGGGGTTCTGCTAAGAAAACCCAGAAAGAAAGGCTTAACTCTGTGGTGGCTCCAAGCCCTTCCGCTCAGCTGTCTCCTCATTCTGCAGAGGATGGCCTCTTCAAACCTGACTCCTTGTCACATCAGTCCTCTCAGGATGGCAGCTCTGAGCATCTTTGGCTCTCAGAGAACTGGGGAGGAGACATGTTCCTAAGGGCAATGTTTCCTGGGAGGAACTTCTACAGTAGGAGTTGCAGAGTGGTAGCCTGTGGGCCACCTCTCATCTGCTGACCTCTTTTGTTTGCCGATACTTGAACATCTGGCACGTCCAAGTAAAAATCTGGACTTCTATCTTTTCATGGAAAAAAGTCAGAAGACCTGGCCATATTGGGCTTGTGTTCCCACATGGTGGCAGAGGCCAGGACAGTGGTGGCTACTCTGTGGAGATGGGCATGTGCTATCTGGGTCACTGAGGTCCCCTCCGGGCCTCCCTCTGCTCTCCTACAGACCAAGGCTGACCCATCAGTGGCAATTAAACCTGGCTGGGCCAGAAGACCACAACTTTTGCCTTGGGCTCTCATCACTAATTTGAGCTACCCGCCTCATCCCAAAGGAGTTTGGCTAAAATTCCTTCTATAGCGAGGGGGAAGCTACCAACCATGGTAGAACCAGGCCCTGTTGCACCTGTCCCCCACCAAGACCCTGGAAACTTGACCCTATAGCGGGCAGACAAGGTTCCCACGGCCTGTGCTTCTCTGCCCCGCCTGCCCAAGGTTTCTCCCTCAAAGAAGGAGAGGCAGTCAGGGGTCTTTTCCTCCATCCACTCTCCCGTCTTGCCTACAGAGGGCCGGGGGCCTGCTGGTCAACCATGTCAACTACTACCAAAGCGACAGCCGGGGCGCCTTCCCACAGACCTTCACCACCCAGCGCCCGCTGCACATCAACAAGGCGGGTAACAACCAAGGCGACACTGAATCGCCCTCCCACGAGAAACTAGTGGACTCCACTTTCACCCCCAGCAGCTACTCATCCACCGGCTCCAACGCCAACATCAACAATGCCAACAACACCGCCCTAGGCCGCTTCCCCCGCCCCAGCGGCTACCCCAGCACAGTCAGCACCGTGGAGGGCCATGGGCCCCCCTTGTCTCCTGCCATCCGGGTGCAGGAGGCTGCCTGGAAGCTCAACTCCAGGAGGTAAGCAGGAGGGTGGGCACCCTGCAGCCTAGCCTGGGCCACACCAGGGTGGAGAACAATTTGGCCCTCAGGCCACCACCCAACCTTTAAGCCTCAGTTAGAGGCTGCTGCCCCAGAACCCAGCGAGAGACGTAGGGGCCAGGCTGCCATCCAAATCGAGCTCTTGGTTCAACATGGCAGCCACACACAGGATAAGCCAGCGTCATGCCGTGGGCCAGCTGTGTCCTAAGGTGCCGGGCCTCTGACAGAGCCCTCTCCTCTCAACCTTCCTGAGTGAATGCATACTGGACTGTGATCCTCTGAGACATGTGAATCCGGGCTATGTGACAAAAACCATCCCCTCTACCCTTTCCCAAACCTCTGCCCAAACCTGGCCTTTCACTCACTTGAGACAGGAAGGGTGTCTTTTCTTCAAAACCCCTCATCAGCCCCATCTTGCTTTCTGGTGGCAGGTAGCCCTTTTCTGTAGCACTGACCTATCTGCCCCAGGGTAGGTAGGATCATTCCTGGAGGTCTTAAGGGTGACTCCCACCTCCTGACTTGCTCTTTTCTCCCCACCTGGCCCTGTGCTGTAGGACACACTGCTATGAGATACTGGGACGGTAGGTGCCTCTTCTGTGCTCTGGGCCCCAGAAGTACAGCCTGGGCTGCCTGCTCCCCGAGGCCAGGGTGGGAGAGGACACTCCTCTGCTTCTTGCCACATCATCCTTGATTGTGCTGCTCTTCCAGAGTAGTATAGTGAGGCCCTAGGAGGCTGGACAGATCCCCAGCATACCAGGTTTTTGGGCAAATCACCTTTTTTCCTGCCCTCCAGCTCACATAGTAATCAAGAAATGTGAGTTTCTTGCTAAACCTCTGGACATATGTCCTGAAGCTGCTTCCACCCAAGGAGCAGCATACTTGCCCGCTAGTTTTCCTGTCCCTTCATAACACCCATCTCCAAGTGGCCATGCAGCCAGGTGTGGTGGTACACACGTGTGGTGGGCTGCTGAGACAGAAGGATCACAAGTTCAAGGCCAGCCTCAGCAACTTAGCAAGGCCTTAAGCAACTCATTGAGACCCTGTCTCAATTTAAAAAATAAAAAGGCTGGGGATGTGTCTCAGTGGTAAAGTGCACCTAGGTTTGATCCCCAATACAAAAAAAGTCACGTGGCCCCATCGTCTGGGCACTTACCAGTATCTGATGCCAAGCAAGTTGCATTGGCCATCCATCCAATCTACTGTATGCTCTGGAAGACTGGCTGCTTTAACCACCCAACAGCAGTGTTGGGCGAGTCCCGAGTCTCAGGAGACACATACTGACCCGTTCTATGCTCAGGGCAATGTGCCCAGCACTAGATCTGTGTGCTGATCTGAAAGGCTGGCTTTGCGTAGAAGATCGAGTTTCAGTGGCCTCCTAAGCCTGACTTGATGGCCCTTTCCCTTTCCTGCATCCCAGCTCCTCCTCCACAATCTTCAAGGACTCAATCAGAGTACCACATTCTCCCCTGTGCACCTTGTCTTCCTGAGGAAGGCTCTTTTTGTTCATCATTGGCATCCCAGTGTAAATTTGATTACCTCCCTTGAAGAGTATTTTCATATTAAATTTTGATCTATATTAAACAAGAGGAGACCTTTAGAGAGGAGCTGTGGAGCAGACATCGGGGGATTTTCTTCTCCCCCAGATGTGTCTATCAGTGAAGTTTAGCACACACACAGTGCCTACCTAGCACAGGGTAAGTGCTCATAAACTTCAGTTGTCTCACTTCCCATGACAGTTGATAAAAACTGCAGGTGTTAAGCTTTAACCAGGGGAAGAGTAAACCTAGCCAGAGTTCCAGCTCTGGGCCTTGTCCTTTATGTCTCAGCTCAAGACTAAGGGCAGCTACAGTTCTGGCATTGCTTTTGCTAAGAATCAGAGACATACTGTCTACAGTGGCCCTCCTGCTCTCTATAGTATAGCCCAGGGCCTTCTTTAAAAGCCTTCATCAGCAGGTGCAGGAAGCAGAGGCCACAGTGGTTATGTCTCTGCATGCATGTGCATGGGTGACACCTCGCTTGCTGGGGCAGAGGAGGACGGCGGCAGTTCCTGATACTTTGGTCCCTTCTGGACACTATAGGTGCTCCTCCCGGGACAGCCAGTTAGCCATGGTGTGTCAAGAGGACGGGTCTCGAGAGGAGACCTACGACGTGAAGATGAGCGAAGAGGCCGAGTACTGCAGCGAGCCCAGCCTTCTCTCCACAGAGATGTGAGCCCTGCGTCTCCTGCCCAGGCCACCCCGGGTGGAGGGAAGGATCTGGGAACGCGGGGCAGGTCGCCAAAATCCCTCTTCTGGGCATGACTTGGGGAGAGGAGGAGATGGCACATCACTAAAATATCTGTCATCTCAGTAGAGGAATGGGAAGCCCCGCATACCTCCCCACCCCCTCTCTCTCTCTCTCTCACACACACACACACACACACACACACACACACACACACACACACATACACAATCCCCTTTATCTTGGCCTTTCCTCATCATAAAATACTTCCATGATAACTTCTCAACATTGTTTCTTAAACTTTTTAGCTGCAACCAGCAGCCATAACTATATTTTCTAGTGAGACTCAGAACACACATATTAACATTTAAACAAATGTTTCATGAAACTGCTTATAATAAAGCTACCCAGAAGAGGGCACTGTGGGCAAATCTAGGGCTGCTGAGTTTGCCCTTGTTGGATGTATGGAGCAGGGCTTTAAAAATGCAGATCTAGATCCTTTAGAAGGTTGCAATGTCGGTCCCTTTTAGAATAGATTAAATATACACTTATGAATAACTAAAAGAGAGGAACTTGAAGGCTCCAGATAGAGTAATGCTAAGGAGATGAAAAGTTAATTATCCTGATTTGACCAGCACATCTGTATACATGTACTGAAATATCACACCAGGCCCCACAAATATGTGCAAGAAAAAAGTTTAATTTAAATGTTTGAGGAGAAGGAAATATTAATGACCTGATTTGATCACTACACATTCTATATGTGTGTCAAAATCATCACATAAATATATGCTCGGTAAATATGTGCAAATTAAAATAATAATTAACAAAAATCAATAAGGACATCCTGTGTGGCATCCTGGGCCCCAGGACTTGCCCAGGGAATGGTGTTGAACAGTAGCAAAGATCTCTCCCTTTTCCCTGGTTAATAGAAGGACATAAGGAGTGCAGAGAACATGGAAGTAGTGGTCAAGACAGTGTCTTGCCTAATCAGATGTCCTCCCCATACTTTCATGTCCCCCTCAGCGTATTTGGGGTGGGGAGTGAGAGGCCTTTGTGACTCAATGGCAAAGGGTAGAAAACCTTTAGAAAATTGTCAGAAACTCCTTGAGAGGTCTCGTTCTCTAAACTGACTTTTAGAGAATGCCAATGGATCCATGACCAATTATCCCAGAGATCAGGAAAGGTGATTTCTCTAATCCATTATGGCTCCTACTAAGTGCTTGGTACATCGGGCTGCTCTACTGGCCATGAAAAACAGCTTGGAACTCAAGGCTATCTTACCAACTAGTTAGGAAGCTCAGAGGATCTCCCAAGAGTGAAATAACATGGAGATTTTGTAACTAACTGCCCACAGAGTAGTACAAATGCTGAGAGGTACAGGCATTCAGAGAAGGTCAGGGGCTGGGTGACCACAGTGTGTACTACATGTAAGTCAGACAGAGCTCTGTCTGCAAGAGTTTGATGACTTGGATAAGAAGAACATGTGAGGAGGAGGACTTACCTAGCTGAGAATGAGAGAAAGGTCTGGAGCCCTAAAAACGTGAGGTTTTCCTTCAGCAAATTTCCCTGTACATCTACGAGGGCTCCCAGTCACTCACAGGAGCGGGCTGGAGTCAGAGAAAACAAAGGCTGTGTAGCCTCTGCCCTGAAGAAATGAGAGATGCTGGAGGCTCCGTGAGACCCGACACGTGGAAGGTCCTGGTTCACGTCTCCAGCACCACAAAACTCACTAACGACGTAAATCAATTATTTTTTAAAAAGATGTTAGGGAAAGCAGCAGGGACAGAGGCAGGGACCTCATCTGACTGCAGGCTGACCCACTAGGGATTGTGAAATCACTTCAGTGGGTTGCAATCAGCATTAGGAAAAAAAAAAAACAGACCAGAGTAGATGAAAAGTTGCCAGGATGGGGAGGAAGTGGGGAGTGAGGGAGACGTTTGGGCTAACACTGAGCACAGCCAAGGTCAATAGCATGAGCATATGTAAAGACTGGAGCCTAGACCTCTCCTGAGGAAACCTGTGAGCCTAGAATTTTTTCTAGCTTTCTCAACACCTTTGACCAAACAGTGATTCCACTGCCTCAAATCAGACATGCAAGACTCAGAGCCGGGCAGGAAGCTCAGTGCTGGAGCACGGGCCAAGCACATGCCAGGTCCTGGCTATGATCCCCAGCACCACACACACACAAAAAGGCAAGGCTCATCAGACAGACTGCTGTGCATAAAGAGCTGGGATTTCCAGCAAGCAGGCCTGTGATGCCAGAGAGCAGGGCAGAATTTCTTAGGGTGGCAAGTCCCTGAGGCCCCTTCCCTAAACCTGTGTGGAAGCACAAGGGTACAGTTGTTCCTTCACTAAGAAAAATGCAGACTGCTTTGTGAGGGTGGCAGCTGTCTCCCTGGGTGGCAGTGCTCAGCCTCCAGGAACAAGCCCCAAGAGTTCTATTCCAGGCTCTCCTACCAGGATGATGAAAATCGACAGTTGACGCCTCCAGAGGAGGACAAGAGGGACATCCGGCAATCTCCAAAGAGGGGTTTCCTCCGCTCTGCCTCACTAGGTAAAGACATACCTTGCTCTCCAGATGAGGCCAGTGGCCACCCCAAGATGACATTGTCAGGTACCCAGGGATAATTAGGAAACTGCTCTGGCCTGGTTTAAGCAATCTCCATACAGCGAGCTGGGAAGATTTCCAAAGCCATAAGACAGAATTCCAAAGGCAGAGCATTCTGGGACAGGATTTAAACGTGCTACTCCATGTGTCTCAGAGATAAAGCCAGGGGTGAAGAGGAGTGTATCCAAGGCCACTGACACTACTCCTTGCAGCTACCTGGGCATGATTCTGTGTTGGTCAGCTTTCTCTTGGTGCAAAAAAATACCTGAGACAATCAAATTAGTAGCTGCACATGGCAGTGCATGCTTGTATTCCCTGTGGCTCAGGAGGTTGAATCAGGAGGATCATGATTCAAAGCTAGACTCAGCAAAAGCCAGGCACTAAGCAAAAGTGAGGCCCTGTCTCTAAATAAAATACAAAATGGGGCTGGGGATGTGGCTCAGTGGTCAAGTGCCCTTGAGTTCAATCCCTGGTACCAAAAAAGAAGAAAAATTTATGTTGGCTCAGTTTTAGAGGACACATGGACAGCTGGCCCCATTGCTTTTGGGTTTGGAGTAAGGCCATATATTATGGTGGACTCTCATGGCAAAACCATTTACCTCCTTCCTGGGAAAAGAAAGAGAGAAAGAAAAAGAGACAGGCATCCTATAATCCCCTTCAGGACATACCACCAACGATATAAAACCTCTCACTAGGCCCCACCTCTTGAAGTTTCTACCAACTCCCAATACTGTCACACGGGGACTGAGCCTTCATCATGTGGGCCTTTGGGAGACATTCAGGATCCAAATGAGAGCAGAGTTGTCCCAGGCCAATGTCCCCTTCTGCTGCCCTGATTCTGATTCTTTGACTGCCCTTGCAGGTCGAAGGGCCTCCTTCCACCTAGAGTGTCTGAAGCGACAGAAGAATCAAGGGGGAGACATCTCTCAGAAGACAGTCCTACCCTTGCATCTGGTCCATCATCAGGTACCCACAAATTTTGGACAGGCCACTGGCCACCACTTTGCAGTACAGATAGTCCCTAGAAGGATGGGAAAATCCTCAAGGTACACATCAACCTTCCCTGTCTCAGACCACTGGTGGATCCTACCCCAGGCCCTAACAACTCCCAAGTAGGGCCACCCACTCCTCTGCAGGTAAAGGAGCCTCAGCAAGGTCTTTCATGCCTGAGTTAAGAGACCCAAAAATCCTAGTAAGTAGGAACGCCCCACGTAATCACAGATCCACAGGAGCTGCTGGATCCCTCCTGAGCTTTCTCCTTATGGTGCCACCAAGTTCCCACCCTTAGACACTGGCTGATACAACATGCACTCAGGCAGATGTTGTCATACCTAGGATTTGAATACACCTGTAAGGTGGACTGCACAAAAATCCAGCCAATGATAGTAATCAAAGCACCTGCCAACAGCACAGTCAAGAGTAGGAATGGTATCCAAGGAGACCAGAGCCAGGGAGATTCGCTAGATAAAACGACTCTTGGCGTGGCTGGCTTGAACTGAGATGGCACAATCCAGGGCACCAGTATCAAGTATATTCCCAGTTATAAAAATTTTGAAGAGCTTTCAAGGCCAGTCCATCACCTCCAGGGAAAGTGGGATCTGAACCCAAGTTTCCCTCAACCTGTTTACCTTTTTAATTCTAGACTCCCTTACCTTGGACCTTTGCTCTAAATGACTTTTTTGTACCCAAAAGGCATTCAACTGTCAATCAGAGTTTATAATCAACACACGATGACAGGTGTGGCTCAGCTGAGTTATTCAATTCAAAGCAATAGTTTTACTTAGCCTTGGCATTACCGTAAAAGGATGGTTTCCACTGGGCATTCTGTAATATAGCGCCTCATACTTCCCTCGCGTCTCCAGGGACCCAGAAGTCCTAGGCTGGGAACCATGTGAGCTGGGGAAGGGAGGGTGGCGGGATGTGGGGACCCTGTGTGTGCTATTTTAAATGATTTCTAGAACTTGGTTTCATCTGTCTGCCTTCATCATGCTGGTAGGCAAGTTTTTTTTTTTCCTTTATTTGTAGACTCCTCTTTGTGCCTTTCTGTCACCTCCACCCTATGTTCTTGTCTTCTCTGCTTCTCAGAACTGGACTTTCCCACCACCGAGTGTCATGCTCTCCCATGAACACATCACATCCAAGCAGCTGACACTGTTGAGCAAGCCATGGTCCCTGACCTAGGGATACTTGTGAACACTGGGGACAGAGGATGCAAACACACCAATCATTCAGTTACAACACAGTATAAGATTTAAACAATAATTCAAAGAGAGCCTGAGCTAGACAGTGGGAGGGCATTGTTAGTGAACTGAGTCATGGTAAAAATTGAGGCAACAACTCTGGTTTTGTCTAGCTCTTTAAGATGGACACTGTTCTTCTCGGCCCTTATTTCACACTGACCCCACTGTAGATGGATGGAGATGATGCAAGATGATGCAATCATCATTATTCCTATTCTACTGATGAGAAAACCAAGAGCAAGAGAATTCAAAGCTAAGGGGTGACAGGAACAGCCTAAATAGCAGACTATCTTGATTCAACACAATTGCAGTTTTCCAAAGCTACAAAAAAGCCATTACTTCAGATTGAGATGCTCATAAAATATATCTTGAAATTGCTGAAACTTATGCCAGGTCTCAAAGAGGTTGAATTCAATGGATAAAGATGGTGGCAGTGTGGATTCCAACACGTGGAACACATTGGAAATTAACAGTTGCAAGGCTGCTTAGAAAGCAGAGGCCTCCCCTGCTTAGGGTCTGACCATTCCCAATAACTCTGCTCTCTGTGTGTCCACAGGCATTGGCAGTGGCGGGCCTGAGCCCTCTCCTCCAGAGAAGCCATTCCCCCACCACGTTCCCCAGGCCATGTGCCACACCCCCTGCCACACCTGGTACCCGAGCCTGGCCCCCACAGCCCATCCCCACCCTAAGGCTGGAAGGAGCCGAGTCCATCGAAAAACTCAACAGCAGCTTCCCGTCCATCCACTGTAGTTCCTGGTCTGAGGAGACCGCCTCCTGCAGTGGGGGCAGCAACACCATCAGGAGAGCCCGGCCGGTCTCCCTCACGGTGCCCACTCAGGCTGCGGCCCCAGGGAGGCAGTTCCATGGCAGTGCCAGCAGCCTGGTAGAAGCGGTAGGTGAATCCAAGTGGCACCACCAACAGGGAGGGGGGAGAAGCCAAGGGCAGCAAGGGGTCTTGGCGTGGAGAAACACCGGGTTCTTTCCTGGATCAGTGGATGTCAGGTCTCTGAATAGAAAGACCTTCCTTCTCGGGACCTGCAAAAGGGTCCAGAGTGCAGATCATTATGGGATGCCGCTGGCTTTGTTGAGGCTTGTCGATAAGAAACCAATAAGCGGTGGGTCCTGCTACAGGCAGTGAACCCTGAAAAAGCCCAGCCGTGTGCTGTGACTACTCACAACACATACATGAGCTCCGGCTGCTTTTGTGCATAGAGGGTCAAGATCCTTGGTTCTCTGTCCTGAGGGCTCAGGAGGGTCACTGGCAAAGCTCTGGAAACCTATGACAAACTGATTTTTCCAAAGCTCTTTAATAATTCTAATATACAACCAGGATTGGGAGTCACTGTTTTAGCGCGAGAATCTCGATTCCACTCTCCTCTGCCTGGCACCACATTTTAGGGGAGTTTTGACATACTGGAACAAAATCAAAGGAGACCAGGAAGACCAGCTGGTTAAAAAAACCTTCCTAGGAAAAGCGCCTAAGGGAATGAGAGAAATAAATCCGGAGGAAGCCATTGAAGAGGCCGTGACACTGTTCTCCCCATCTCTCCCCCACAGGTCTTGATTTCAGAAGGACTGGGGCAGTTTGCTCAAGATCCCAAGTTCATCGAGGTCACGACCCAGGAGTTGGCGGACGCCTGCGACATGACCATAGAGGAGATGGAGAACGCGGCCGACAGCATCCTCAGTGGGGGCGCGCAGCAGAGCCCCAATGGCACCCTACTACCTTTTGTGAACTGCAGGGACCCGGGGCAGGACAGGGCGGGCGGCGAGGAGGACGGGAGCTGTGCGCGCGCCCTGGGGCGAGGCCGGAGCGAGGAGGAGCTCCAGGACAGCAGGGTCTACGTCAGCAGCCTGTAGTCGCAGGGCTGGGAGACGCCGGGTTTTTTATTTGTTTCAATGTTCCTAATGGGTTCGTTTCAGAAGTGCCTCACTGTTCTCGTGACCTGGAGTTAACCGGAACAGCGTCTTCATTCATTTCTGTTGGGACAAGACGCAGAGCTGGGTGGTGTGAGAGCCCGCTTTTCACGGGGAGGAGAAGCCGCGAGGCAGTGTGTGTCCACCGAGCGACAGGCGAGAAGCGGGCAGAGGAATCTCGGCGGCGAGCAAGGCCCACGCGCCGCCCTGCGCTGTCAGCCCTGCGCCGGGTCCGGCGTCGCCTCCGGGGCCCGAGAGGACCTACGCTCCCTGCGGCGGCTCGCTCAGAAAGGACCCTCGAGCAAACGGGTGTCTTTCAACTTCGCTTGTAAAAAATCATTTGCACACATTCTGTATGAGCCTCACTGTCCCCATAGAGCCAGGCCCTGTGCATTTGGAGGAGGAGAGGGGTGTGACTTCCAGCAAGAGCCCAGCCTACTGGAGAGGAACGAGGAGGAGCGGAGGAGACAGCAGCCTGGGGGACAGGCGCGCAGGGCCCGGGACGCGGGTAGAGTGGCGGCTTCACCCCGAGTCCCGCGGCTGCAGTCCCGGCCACCTCCGCTCGCCGCGACAGGATCCTTTTGCCTGCACAAGCCACGCGAGCTGCAGACCAGAGCCCGGCCAGCGTCAGCGCGAGCCAGGACAGGACCGAGCTGGCGCTGCCCGGGGATGGGGCCGCCAGCTCTCACCGAAGGAGGTGGTGCTGAGCTTCCTTTGAGCGCTCTTTTGTTTTGTGGTTTGACATTTTTCTTGACAGCATGTTGCAGTTTTTCTTTTTTCTTTTTTTTTTCTGGTTTATTTTATTTTTGTTTTCCCAGGGGGAGGGAAGGAAGAGGAGCGTTTACAAGTTTTGTAGCCACCCACCTTACTGTTTTCACTTTTGCATCTGTAAACCAGGTTTGGTTTTACTGTATTCGTTAAACAGTTGCAGATTTCCTTTTTCCATTGAGGGAGGGTTCAATAGCCACTGTAGGAGAGTTTTACCAGCCTTCGTGTATGCCCCATAATTTGTTATAATTTCCTTAGGTAGTAACAATTTTTCTTTCTGGTTTGATTTGGTTTTACAATTTAAAGGTAATTGGCAATGCACTTGATGGGTCTTGCACAAACGGGCGATTGGGGTTGGTTTACGCTAGGTGTGTTGGTGGGTGCAGGAGAGAGGAAGTATGAGAGAGTGTGTGTTGGGCGTGTGTGTGTGTGAGTAGAGGTTGTCTGTGTGCATGTGTCTATGTTGTATGTGTGTATATGTACCCGCTCAGTGTGCCCATGCACACAGGTGAGTGCAGAGTTTCCCCTTTCTGGCTTAACTGTGGGGAGATCTGAATCTAGGGCCATTTGAAAGCAAAAACAAACCACTGTCTCTGCTTCTGAAACGGGAATCAGTAACTCTTTGCATTTTCTGTCCCACAAGATATGCAAAAACAATGCAATAATATTCATTTTAAAAATACAATTGTGAGTCGTGTTGGCATTAGAACTGTATTTAAAAAAACACAGAAATTTAAGAAAAAAAAACTCAAGAAGGCATTTTGCTTCGATATATTCCGTGTAATGTTTTATTGCATTGATAATGTTTCTGTTGAAGAAACCGTTATACTTGAATTCAGGTCAGTTTCAGTATTTTTCAAATATTTTTTTAAAACTGAATTGCAATTGTGCCAAGCGAATATAATGAATTAAGTTTGTTTTTGAATTCACTTCTTGTATATTTTGCTGCATGTAAAGTAAATCATTTTGTATTTGGAGTGTGACAAGCTTTACCTTTGAACTCAAGTGCTTTTCTATGTGTGGTTGGGGGAAAGGGAAGGATTTTTCTTTTCACTAGTACAATCTACAAAGGTATCCCCAGCATAAGTCATTATCCTGCTGTCCACAAACAGGTTCAGACATGACTGTTTTGCATATCTTGTGTTCATTTCCATTTCCCTCAATTCTTCCAAACTCCTGTGATAGGTATATGTGTACCACGTCTTGCTTTAGGAGACCAGGACATCCTCTCATTCAGGTCTTTACTCTCTCCTCCCTGCTGTGGTTCTCTGACTCAGTACTTGTCCAAGAGCAACTTCCCCATGATGTGCAGTGAGGCTTCAGCATCCCCCTAGGAAGAGGTGGCTGGCTTTTCTGGTCACTCCCACAGCACAAAGGTAACTCCCCACACTGATAGAAGATGAAATTAAGGTCAGGCTAGTGGGTGGGGAGGGGGGGTAGCCTCCCTTCAGACAACTGGTCTACCCAATTGCAGCTAGCCCTGTTAGAGAAAAAAAAGTGGGTGAATGAATCCCTGATCCTTCCAGAAGTCCCTTTCTGTCAGACTCACTCCATCCTTTCCTCACTCTAGAGCAGGATTCCCTCCAGACCCACTCTAACTATGTGGCAGTGAAGGGGGGACCCCAACAAGGGAGAGAGCATCAGGAATTCACAGTGGAGGAGGAAATAGATTTTGTGGGGGCATCTCTTATGCTCTTTGGCACCTACCTGGAGCATCACCCTGTGAGTGCTGTGTCCTTCAATTACACCAAGGATTGTTGAAAAGTGATAGTTGACTGTTTGGGAGAAAATAGATCCAACAGTTCACTCAGAATTTACCCACTGGATCTCTCCCAGTCCCAGCTGATTAGAAATTGCAGGAAGGGGGCAGCACATTCCTTGGTGAAGATGGGTTTTACTCTCACGAACTGATTTATTGGGAAAAATGCACCCAATACTCTTGAGTTACCCAGAGTCTAGAAACATTGCTTCTTCAAGGCTTTCCACTCCCAGTCCACCCAGACACTCATGGTTCCTTTCAGTATTGACAAGGTCTTCTAGAAATTAAGATTAGGTGTCATTCTTTATCCTGTTTCCCAAAATTTCTATCACTGTACTGCTGAGATTTGGGTTATGATGGAGAGGGGAGCCCTTTTGAATTGATATCTGGTTCTTGCTTACATTTGGCCCCTAGATAGAAATTCAGAGTTTTGATTGATCCTACACAGGTATGTACCTGCATGCACACATGCACACTCAACCTTTTCCTTTTGCCTCTCTATTCCTTTTGAATTTCCAGCCTTTGTCACCAAGTGTCATTGTGCAATGGCATGGGCTGCAGGCTGGGCTCCTGACAGCTCCTTGTGTTCTACCCAATGTGGTTCCACAGCCTTGATGCACAAGGCTCTGGGTTCAATCCCCAGCAACACACACACACGCACACACACACACACACACACACACACACACACACACACCAGTGTAGCTCCCCTGTCCTTCACCCTCACCTCCATGGTCTGCCTTCTCCATAGCCAACACAGGGAGGAAGACTAGAATGCTCTTCTCCGAATGGCATCAGCAGAGATAGGCATGGTGGCACAGACCTGTAATCCTAGCAACTCAGGAAGCTGAGGCAAGAAGATCCCAGGTTAGAGTCCAGCCTCCATAACTCAAATCAGTTCGTGAGATCTGGTCTCAAAATAAACACTAAAAAGGGCAGGGGCTGGGGGTTGTAGCTCAGTGATAGAGCATCCATTGGTTCAGTCCCCAGTACTGCCAAAATATAAAAATAAAATAAAGAGTGGCATCATTGGGAACATGCCATCCTTGCCCTTTGGTGCCAGGAAGGAGAGGGGTGCAAAAGAGCACTCCCTCTCCAGGGCAACGAGGTTTCTTAGCTTGGCTCAGTGTAAGACTGGCACACGGTGCTCTTCACCATGATGGACTGGTGCAAGAAGTACCTACGATGCAGAGGGAGCCCTTTGTAACCAGTGAGCCACATTCACGACGGATTGAGTATGTCTACTCTCCACCATGTCAATTCTTCTGCAGTCTTTCTGACAGTCCCTGAGAGCCAGGAGAAAAGCATCCAGTGACTGAGGACCCAAGGGACTTGAAGGAGTGCAGTTACATTCTGAAATCTGGCAAGCTTCATTTTTCTTCTGACTAGCCCCGTCTCTTCTATTTCCATACCTTGATCTTCAATAGTTTTTCATTATGTGAAAACTATTGCATAGACACACTAAGCAGAAAGAATGCCAGCTGTCTCCTTTCTGCCTGATTCTAGACAGTTCTTTGGGTCTTGAGAAGAGGGAGAATTTTTCTGCCTGATTCGTGAACTTTCCCCTGCTTTGGTTCAGCAGCTCTTAGGCATATCCCCCTTCCCGCTTCCTAACCTCAGGCTTTCCTTTAACTAGAATAATCAAGGTCGGGTGCAAGGTTGTGTCATTTACCTTCCTCTTTTTCCCTGGCTCCAAATTCCGTGTGCCTGTCACTTCCTCATAGCCCTTCTCCATCCAGGACTGACCAGCTGAAGGCAGGAGGGCACCTGCTGGAGTGCACCTTCCTGTGGCAAAGTCATGTCCTTGTGAGGATTAGAAGGAGAAGGAGGAGAAGGAGGAGACTGGAAGTCAGCAGGGGCTGGTGGCTGTTCTACGGGGAGGGTTGATCCACCCACTACTCCAGAGGCAGAGAAATAGAGGATTTAGGTTAGGTGTGTGTAGAACCCTGGTGGTCAGGGTTTTAGCCTCATGAACCCATATTGGAAATGTTGCCAAAGGAGGACAATGTCACCTCTGACCTTGGGGACCTAGAATAATTGAAATCTCATGGTCTAGGATTTAGAAACTCTTTAGCTAAGAAAGGGTTCTCTGACCTCCAGAAGAGCTGCTCAAAACCCAAGGAGTCAAAACTTGCTGTTAGAGTCCAGGCCAATTCTGCTTTTTAAAGACCTGGCTCTGAGAGAAACATCAGCCTGGATAACCAGAAGTCGAGGCAAGAGAAGGGCAGGTGTTGACTCCCCAGGAGTCTGTTCCCATTTTATGGAAAGAAATGCTCAGTTCAGCCACCCATAATGACTAGTACCATGGAGAGGCTGGCGCCTCAAGGATCTACTTCAGAAAATGAGAAAAATACGATTCCAACTCCGTGTTGTCTTCCCTGCCAAGCCAGGTCACCTGCCAGACGCCCCTCCCCTGCATTAGCCAGTGATTGCCTGAAACAGGCTCCTGTCAAGGGACAGAGAAGCCTGATCTCAGCCACCCAAGGCCGGATTCTCCAGCAGCTGCTTGTAGAGGTGATGGAAAGGAAGGCTGAGAAGGGGGAGTAACCTACGAGTGTCGGGAATGAGGACGGTGCACCTTTGCCCCTTCCTAAGAAGTCCTCTGTGCCCCCTCCTCCCCAACTTCCCGCTATCCGCTGTCCTCCTCCCTTCTGCCTAGTGAGAGACAGAGTGGAAAGGAGCCCCTGTGCAGATTTTTACACTGTTTTCTGTTTTAACTTATGTATTATTTATTAATTATTTTCCAAACCAACAAAACATTGTTTTATGGCATCAGATACCAACACAAAAAGTCAACAGGTTTCTACCGGATTCCAAGTGTTGGGGAGACACTTGAATCTCTCTCTCTCTCTCTCTCTCTCTCTCTCTCTCTCTCTCTCTCTCTC